TGGGGGGCCCAATAAACCAAGTCCCAAAACCCATATAACGGGAAATATACCAAACAACAAAGACCCCCCAAATTAAAGCCTAGAAAAGATTAACCGGTGGGGACTCGATGGTGCACAAGGCTTTTTCCTCAAAAAAAAAGGGGGAGTAGATGTAAAATAAAAGAGAACCCGGCGCCCCTTTAAAAGGGGACGAAAAGAATAACAGAGCGGCTAAAAAAGGGCCCAAAATATCTGAAAGCTTTGGGAGACACTGGTTTAGGAGAAATAGGGAAGCACGAACTAAGCTAAAAGAAACCTTTTTGGAAATCAGGAAACGCGGGGGAACTAAAAACCATAAAAAGAAATCGAAAGAAAACCCCAAAAAAATTTTTTTCTCCTTCCAAACAAAATCGGAAAAACGTCCAGTTTGGGCCCCTACTTAAAAAAAGATGGGTCTACACCCGAAGACACAAGGAAATGATGAGCTACCAAGTCCCAAAATGACTTTATTTTTTTGCAAGCCGCAACCAAATTTAGAGTCAAGATCAAAAAAAGAATTTTTTATGAGAGAAGGGCCCCAAAAATTTTTAACACAACCCATCCGATTTTTTCCTTACGCCCAAAAGACTTCGAACAAGCGATAAAAGACCCTGCCCAAGCACTCTGCCCCAGGGCCAGACTCATGGAACTCCCGTGTTTTTATCAAGAAAGCAAGAAGCCCTTATCACGAGCCTTTTCCATCCTATTGGGGAGAAGCATGGACACGGGGGTCCGGGCCCCCCAGTTTCTAAAAACAACAGACATAGCCCCACTCCAAAAGGGGGCAGTAAAACAAAAAACAAAGAAACACAACCCCAAAAGCACTAACATCCCAATCAAAAAAAATCTTTTTAAAGGGTCCTAAAAGCAAAAAACACCACCTATCTAGAAACCCCCTCATTACACAACCCGAGGCAACATGGGTTTAGAACAGGTCGCTCCGTCTGTCTTTAACTATTGGGATCACTACGACAAGGCCTAAATGCACTAAAGACAAAAAAAAGCAGATGTAAATAAATTTCAGACTTTGCAAAAGCCTTTTTACAAGTGGACCATGGGGTTTAAAAGCGCACCCAAAAGCTGCTAAAGGAATAACAGGAAAAACCGGCGATGGGTTTTATAATTTTCCCCACTAACAAACACAGAAGTTCGTCCAAAAAAGAGTAAAAGTCCCGGGGGCAGCCTACCGGGGAAAAAACTCTGTTCCACAAGGCCCAAACCCCGAACCACCTCCCCCCATCTTGTTTCCCAAACCTCATAACCGACAAAGACAAAAAGGGGCAGCCACAAGCACCGTTTCTTCCTTTTGGGGAGAACACCCGAATCTGCATGAAAAAGTGTCCCATTGCAGACACTGCAAAAAGGGTTCCCCGGCGGGCATCAAAACCCAAAACTTTTAGTGGGGTTTCAGAAAACCCAAAATGAAAATTCCAAAGATGAGAAATTTCAATTTCTCAGATATGGTAAAAAATGAGGAAAAAATTTAAAACTTTATCAAGTACAAAAAAAAATTCTGGCCACAAAAAAAGAGCGAAACAAAAACGGGCAAGACCTGGGAGTGGAAACATGACGGGGGATCTCACCTTCAAGGAAAACCAAAAACAATTTTATCAATCGCAAAACTCTAGAAAAATGACAGGATGGATTTAAAGAGAACCTTCAAAACTGGGAGGCCAAGCCCCTGATGACGCTCTTCGGGCCTTGTTTTATCTAGGGTGGGGGTATTGGGGTGCCCAAAATAACAGTAAACCCTTTTAAGGCAGTGAAAATTGCCGGCCTAAAATGTACGAAACTTTCAAAGGGGGCGCATAAAGGAGTTTAAAAAACCTCCAAATTTCTGGGGGGCGGGTTTTAGGTTCCTAAAAACCCGTATTTTCCCCGGAAAGCAGGAAAGGGGGAAAATAAAATGATTATTTTAAAACCTGGAAAAAACCTAGAGGGACTAGAACCGAAAAATTTTCAAAAACGAAAACACTCACTTTCCAAAACAAAAGACTTTTGGGAGACGAAGCACCATCCCCCCCCAAAGAAAAAGCAGGGGGGTCACTACCCCGTTTAAAAAGACCATTTCAATAATTTTTCAGGGGGCCCCAGAAAGTTTTAACTGCCCCCCAGCACCATAAGGGGGGGTTAAACCCAAAAACCCCTGGCAGTCTTCAAGCTGGGACTTGGGCAAACACCTAAAGTCATTTTCCCCGATCACCCGGGGTGTGGGGGTCGTACGTTGGTTTCGTGCAGCCAGCAGCAACAGCCGGTTGATCAGGGGACGGGTCCCCCAGGGGGGGCCTGGTCACAGACCGGCCCCCGGGGGCGTTTACCCCGGAACTCCCTCCAGGTAAACTCCAGGGGCCCCGGGGGGGTTTTACCCCCACTAGGGATACTCCAGGATGGAAAAACTTTCAAAAAGGGGCGATTCAAGGAAATTGGAGCAAATGTCTAATTCTTTCAAATTTAATTCAAAATTTAATTTAAAGTTTATTCCCCTATAAGGATTACAATGCTGAGTTTAAAAAGAAATTTGGTTAATTTTTTTTTTTGGGTTTTCATGAAATAAAATTGTGATTGCAGAGGTTTCCCCTAGAACGCTTGCATGGCCCAGGAAAATTTTGGGGATACTTAGTTTTATTCTTAATTGAAAAAATTAAAAAAATTGGAAAGGGAAAATTGGTAAATTTTGGCTAAATACTAAAAACTAGGGTTTTTGAGGTTTTTGCAAAAGTGAATGCTTTTTTTTTTGGCCCCGTATAAAAGGGGGGGGGGGGGGGGGGAAATTTTTAAAAGGGGAATTTTAAAATTTTTTTTTCAAAAAATTTGGGAGGGAATTCCCCCAGGGAAATTTTATTATTTAAGGGGGCCTGGGGATTTAAATTTTTCTTTTAGGGAAAAAAAGGGGAAAGGGGGTGTTGTGTTAAACCCCCGGTGGGGAAATTCCGGATTTTAGGGGTTTTTACAAATTAAATTTTTTTCTAAAAGGTAAAATTTTTGGGTGATTTTGGGTTTGTCCAATTCAAAAAAGTTTTTAGGTAAAGGGGGTTAGATTTTAAAGGGGGTTTGAATACATTGAACAATTTTGTTAAAGGTTTGTCGGAGGGGGGTGTCGAAGGGGGGGAATGTTTTTTTTTCTTTTTTTGTTTTATTGGGTTTGGTTTTGGGTTCTGTTACAAAACCCCAAAAAAAGCATAGGGGAGGTTGGGTAAATAAGTTTTGGGTTTTTAGAAAGGGGTTTGCACGAGTAAGGGGGAGTACTGGAAAGGGGGTAAGTTTTAGGGTCTTTTTTTAAGGTGGGTTTGGGTTTTTTTTAGGGTTTAAGTATTAAAATTTTCCCCCAAATTTTTGGGTTGGGTTTTAATTCTTAAGGGGTTTTTTCTCATTTTCCCCAAACAAATAATAAATTTGGGAGGGTTTAAATAAGTTTTTTTGGGTAAAAAGGGTAAACCTTTTCCAAGGGGTTGATTTTGGAAGATAAGGGTTTGGGATAAAATTTTTTTTCTAAAAGGTGGGTTAGGTGTTGGGGAATTTTAAAGGATTTGTAAGGAAAAAAACTAAAAAAATTTTTTTCCCCATTAAATTTTGGTTTAGGTGTTTTGTCAATCTTTTTAAAAGTTAAATTTGTAAACCCTGGCCCCTTAAAACCTAATTTAAAATTTTGTAGTGATTTCGTGTTTTATTGGCTTTCATCCAAGTCGATATTTTAATCAGCTCCTCATTCACAATGGTGTTGAGGGTGGCAAGATTAGGGTGAGAGATGACATAAGTCGTGTCATCAGCAAAGAGAATGGGTTTCAGGTGTTGGGATACGTTTGGAAGGTCATTGATGTATATGAGGAAGAGCAGGGGACCAAGGACACTTCCCTGCGGAACTCCAGTATCAAGTGGCCGTGTTGCTGATGCTGTGTCTTTAATGGTGACGTACTGATACCTATTAGTAATGTAAGATTTGAAATAAGCAAGCGCATGGCCTCTTATACCGTAGTGGTCAAGTTTGTGGAGTAGGATTTCGTGGTTTACTGTGTCAAAAGCTTTTCTTAGGTCAATAAAAATTCCTAGTGGATATTCCTTATTTTCCAATGCTGTGTAAAGCAGATCTAGCATTTTATGATTGCATCATTAGTGCTTTTATTTTTCCTGAATCCAAACTGGCAGGGGTTGAGTATGTTTTGAGCCGTTATAAATGAACACAGTCTCTTGTACACGAGTTTCTCAAAGATTTTGGATAGCAATGGTAAGTTAGATATTGGCCTATAGTTGTTTAAGTCTGTAGGGTCACCACCTTTATGTATTGGTGTAACCCTTGCCATCTTGAGTAGTTTCGGGAAGGTGCTAGTCTCTATTGACTTGTTAAAAAGTAATGAAATAGCATGCGAAAGGACATGGGCCGCTCGCTTGTACAGTAATGGTGGGACATGAGACAGATTCCCCGAGTTATTTTTAAGTGACTTTATGATCTCAATGACTTCCGTGGGCTCAGTTGGTGCAAGATCAAGAGCCCCTCACCAGCATCAAGGCTCCTCCGTTAAGGGGAACAGGTGTTAGGAGACATGTCCATAGGCCCTGCCTAGGATAGGATTCGACCCTGGGACTCGGTTTTATGCTGAACAATTTCTTTTTTCTGCCCTAATGTATTGGAAACGAATGTCATAGAGGAGATTAAAAATACTTATGACATAGCTATTTTACATTAGTCAATTTCAGGGTAAGAGGAGAAACCAAGAAATAGAGCTCACTAGTATTATTAAATCCTTGGTGAGGCGCAAAATCCGTAAGGGGTCATAGTGTGCCAGGGTAAATGAGAGGGAATCATTCGTAATTGAAGAAATGGAAGGGGTTAACTCTCCTTGGATGGAGAGCTCTTCCACACCATCAAGGCGCTCCCCTTGAAGGGCTCAGTACATTATTATTATTATATTATTATAATCAAGGGGGAAGCGCTAAACCCGTAGGATTATACAGCGCCTGTGCGGGGGGGGGAGTGGAAGGTATTCAGGCTTAATTCGGGGAACTGGAGCACAGATCCAATTCTCTAGATCAAGAGCCCCTCACCAGCATCAAGGAACCTTCCTTGAGGGGAGGGCTGAGCACAGCAATAAAAAAACAGAGCTCAAATCTAGCGGGAGAGGGAAGATGATCTGCGGCGGCCGCCCCGATGCTCCTCTGTCCCTCACGGAAATAACACTAATTCTTGCAAGAGGCCAGAGATGTTGGTGTTGTCTCCTCGTTTATCATAAGGTTAGTGCCTCGGATATGTCTCCTTCACACATTCTTCAAGTACGGCAGGTTGTGGGGAAAGTATACAGGTTATAACGGGGGTTAATATATAACGGAGTGAGACAGTATGGAAGATTTAAGGTGAATTACCCGGGGATGGACAAAGACGTTTTAGCAAACTCCAGCTTCCGTAACTAACTTAAATTGTATTATCTGTGGAATTTTAAGCATGTCTCACTATAGTAACGGCATAATTAGACTTCTAGTTGGTTATCGTATATATAAAAGAATCTAGTGTGTTCAAACACTGTGTAATATGTCAACATGACACCTTCAAGGATTTCAGCATTTCTGATCAGGAATTCTGTAGTCCATCTGTGGTATTTGTTGCACAGTCTGGCACGTATTGTGTGTGTGGATCTATGTCTAAACTGGTATGTTAAATGGCATTATCTTTCATGGAGTAGTATAGCATTCAACTTTCAACCTAAAGATCCAGTTGCAAATAAGTCATACCTTTAGACTTTTTTTTTTTAGTTATCCTAGGCTAAATCTACATAATTTACCACCAGTGTTTGTTAATAATAATTGTGTTTATTGCAGTTATTACATAAATGTATGGTAATCTGTAATACCATGTGTAAGGAATGTGAATAATGCTTATAAGTCACATTGTTTAATTTTTCTAGGTTATCATAGGTCAACTGTGCATAATTGACCATCAATGTATGTTTATAATAATAATATGCCATTGGAACAAGGGTACAATTTTATAATGCTGTGCAAAATCATATGTACATTATCCAAATGAAGTTTTCTTTACTTCTGTGTTACCCGGGTTCATTTCTGGGTGGGGTAACACTTACGGTAAGTCAAACACTTGCTGTCATTGCTCACCTAGCAGTAAATAACACTTAGTAGCTATCTGACTGCTGTGGCATGCATTCTTCAAAAAGACCACCTAGGAACCCCAATGGAATTTATAAGCCTCACTTACTTTGATTATTATGGGTTATCAACAATTCAGGGTTAATAGTATAGAGTAAAATCTTCAAAGGACTTGGTCAGCACTACTTTTCTGTATCTTGCTATACAGTATATCACAAAATACGTATACCTGGAGTTTACCTGGAGAGAGTTCCGGGGGTCAACGCCCCCGCGGCCCGGTCTGAGACCAGGCCTCCTGGTGGATCAGAGCCTGATCAACCAGGCTGTTGCTGCTGGCTGCACGCAAACCAACATACGAGCCACAGCCCGGCTGATCCGGAACTGACTTTAGGTGCTTGTCCAGTGCCAGCTTGAAGACTGCCAGGGGTTGAAGAAATGCAGTGAAGTTACTGCATACTCAGCGAGTTATCCAGGTGGTATCTTGGTGGCTCTGTAAAAATACAGGGGTACCCCGAGTTTCGAACTGCTCCCAACTTGACCAATTATGTGACAGGGAATACAGTCACAGAAACCCAAGGCAAACGGAAACCAAGCCTGTGCACATACTATGCACTTGGTATCTGCAGACATGGGAAATCTGGAAAAACAGACGGGACGTGCAACTATGACCACCCTAGAAAATGCCATGCCCATATGACAACAGGAAAATGCAAACTCCCTTCCTGTAAGCTTTTTCACCCTGAAATGTGTACCTCTTCAGTACAGGAAAGACTGTGCTATAACTTAAATTGCCAGGCACACCATCTAAATGGTACAAAAAGATACAAAACATCCAGGCCATGGGAAAACCTGGGTAGCCACAGCCACTCAAGAGGGAGAGATTTTTTAGTGCCAGGAAGGAAAAAAAAACTGGCAGGAAATGGCAGAAATCGTACACCAAATCCAGTCATTCCTGGAGTGGAACCACAGTCGATGGCCTCCACTCCAAACCAACAGATACAGATACTAATGCCGGAAAAAAAATCCCCCCCAGTACCAACAATACCACCAATTCGATGACATTCTTCTTTGCAAATATACAGGGTCTAAAGCCAGCAACAAACAACAAAATACCTTTCATCCGTGGACTGCTTGCAGAGGCAAAGGCAATGTTCGCGGCTTTCACTGAGACCCACATAAAGGATCACTTGGACAACGAAATATGAATCCCAGGTTACAACCTATACAGATGTGACAGAGTGAACAGGCAAAAGGGGGGGGGGTTGGCCTGTACATTGCATAGTCACTTGTTTGCACAGAACTGCTAAATGCCTCAAATGATGTAGTGGAAGTTTTAGCAGTAAAGGTCGAGAACCAAAACCTAGTCATTGTGGTAGTCTACAAGCCTCCGGATGCAACATCCCAGCAATTCCAGGAACAGCTGTTAAAAATTGACCACTGTCTGGAAAATCTTCCAGCTCCTGCACCCAACATCTTGCTCCTGGGGGATTTCAACTTAAGGCAACTAAAATGGAGGAATATAGCAAATAATATTGTTGCAGTAATAACACCAGGAGGCAGCTCTGATGAAAACTCACACTCACTCGAGCTTTTAAATCTCTGCACAAAATTCAATTTAAACCAGCAAATAATAGAGCCTACTAGACTGTAGAATACACTAGACCTCATCTTCACTAACAATGATGATCTGATAAGAAATGTCACCATATCAAAAACAATATACTCAGATCACAACATAATTGAGGTTCAGACATGTATGCGTGGAGCCCCAGACCGACATAATGAGACTAGTCACGAGGGAGCATTCACCAAATTCAACTTCAATAACAAAAACATAAAGTGGGACCAAGTAAACCAAGTCCTAACCGATATAAGCTGGGAAGATATACTAAGCAACACAGACCCCAACTTATGCCTAGAACAGATTAACTTGGTGGCACTCGATGTATGCACTAGGCTTATTCCTCTAAGAAAAAGGAGGAGTAGATGTAAAATAGAAAGAGACAGGCGCTCCCTTTACAGGCGATGGAAAAGAATAACAGAGTGGCTAAAAGAGGTTAGTATATCTGAAATGCGTAGGGAGACACTGGTCAGAGAAATAGCAAGCATCGCACTTAAGCTAAATGAATCTTATAGGAGTCAGGAATCGCGGGAAGAACTAAAAGCCATAAATGAAATTGAAAGAAACCCAAAGTATTTCTTCTCCTATGCCAAATCAAAGTTGAGAACAACGTCCAGTATTGGGCCCCTACTTAAACAAGATGGATCCTACACAGATGACAGCAAGGAAATGAGTGAGCTACTCAAGTCCCAATATGACTCAGTTTTTAGGAAGCCGCTAACCAGACTGGGAGTCGAAGATCAAAATGAATTTTTTATGAGAGAGCCACAGAATTTGGTTAACACAAGCCTATCCGATGTTATCCTGATGCCAAATGACTTCGAACAGGCGATAAATGACATGCCCATGCACTCTGCCCCAGGGCCAGACTCATGGAACTCCGTGTTCATCAAGAACTGCAAGAAGCCCCCATCACGAGCCTTTTCCATCCTATGGAGAGGGAGCATGGACACGGGGGTCGTCCCACAGTTACTAAAAACAACAGACATAGCCCCACTCCACAAAGGGGGCAGTAAAGCAACAGCAAAGAACTACAGACCGATAGCACTAACATCCCATATAAAAATCTTTGAAAGGGTCCTAAGAAGCAAGATCACCACCCATCTAGAAACCCATCAGTTACACAACCCAGGCCAACATGGGTTTAGAACAGGTCGCTCCTGTCTGTCTCAACTATTGGATCACTACGACAAGGTCCTAAATGCACTAGAAGATAAAAAGAATGCAGATGTAATATATACAGACTTTGCAAAAGCCTTCGACAAGTGTGACCATGGCGTAATAGCGCACAAAATGCATGCTAAAGGAATAACAGGAAAAGTCGGTCGATGGATCTATAATTTCCTCACTAACAGAACACAGAGAGTAGTCGTCAACAGAGTAAAGTCCGAGGCATCTACGGTGAAAAGCTCTGTTCCCCAAGGCACAGTACTCTCTTCCATCTTGTTCCTCATCCTCATATCCGACATAGACAAGGATGTCAGCCACAGCACCGTGTCTTCCCTTGCAGATGACACCCGAATCTGCATGACAGTGTCTTCCATTGCAGACACTGCAAGGCTCCAGGCGGACATCAACTGAATCTTTCAGTGGGCTGCAGAAAACAATATGAAGTTCAACGATGAGAAATTTCAATTACTCAGATATGGTAAACACGAGGAAATTAAATCTTCATCCGAGTACAAAACAAATTCTGGCCACAAAATAGAGCGAAACACCAACGTCAAAGACCTGAGAGTGATCATGTTGGAGGATCTCGCCTTGAAGGACCATAACATTATATCAATCGCGTCTGCTTGAAAAATGACAGGATGGATAATGAGAACCTTCAAAACTGGGGAGGCCAAGCCCATGATGACACTCTTCAGGTCACTTGTTCTATCTAGGCTGGAATATTGCTGCACACTAACAGCACCTTTCAAGGCAGGTGAAATTGCTGACCTAGAAAATGTACAGAGAACCTTCACGGCGCGCATAACGGAGATAAAGCACCTCAATTACTGGGAGCGCTTGAGGTTCCTAAAACTGTATTCCCTGGACTGCAGGCGGGAGAGATACGTGATTATATACACCTGGAAAATCCTAGAGGGACTAGTACCGAACTTGGACACGAAAATCACTCGCTACGAAAGCAAAAGACTTGGCAGATGATGCAACATCCCCCCAATGAAAAGCAGGGGTGTCACTAGCACGTTAAGAGACCATACAATAAGTGTCAGGGGCCCGAGACTGTTTAAACTGCCTCCCAGCATACATAAGGGGGATTACCAACAGACCCCTGGCAGTCTTCAAGCTGGCACTGGACAAGCACCTAAAGTCGGTTCCTGACCAGCCGGGCTGTGGCTCGTATGTTGGTTTGCGTGCAGCCAGCAGCAACAGCCTGGTTGATCAGGCTCTGATCCACCAGGAGGCCTGGTCACAGACCGGGCCGCGGGGGCGTTGACCCTTGGAACTCTCTCCAGGTAAACTCCAGGTAAGTTTATCAACTCTGAGCCCGGCCATGGGCCAGGCTCATCTGGTGCTTGCCTGGTCAACAAAGCTGTTGCTGCTGGAGGCCCACTGCCCCATGTATCCATCACAGGCTGGTTGATCTGGCACCTGGTGAAGATAAGATAAGATTTCGTTTGGATTTTTAACCCCGGAGGGTTAGCCACCCTGGACAGTCGAGGACTGTCTAACATATTTCCATTGGGGTCCTTAATCTTGCCCCCCAGGATGCGACCCACACCAGTCGACTAACACCCAGGTACCTATTTGCTGCTAGGTGAACAGGACAACAGGTGTAAGGAAACGTGTCAAAATGTTTCCACCCGCCGGGAATCGAACCCGGGCCCTCCGTGTGTGAAGCGGGAGCTTTAGCCACCAGTGTATTATTGTAAGTGTTTTTGTAAGAGTACTTTTGGGGGTCTGAAATGGATTAATCTAATTTACATTATTTCTTATGGGAACATAGTCATTTGGTATCAGCACTTGAACAGCTTTCTGGAACGAAGAAAGTTCAAAACTCAGGGTACCACTGTATAAGCGTGAGTTATTCAGCACCTTATTTGAGATTATTCAGCAACCCTAAAGGGTTAACCCTTAAATTGTCCAAACAGATATATGTTCACATGTGTAGTGCTCCAAAAGTAGATCTGCATTTTTTTTTACATATTTTCAAATATATATATAAAAAAAAGTAGATCAAAGTTTTTTTACACGTTTTCAAATGTAAAAAAAAAAAAAATTACGTTTTTTTACATACTTTCAAATGTTGAAAAAACGTAGATCTTCATTTGGACAGTTTAAGGGTTAAGGTTTAGTTATATTAGGTTATGTTTTATTAGGTTAGTTCTTGCCAATAAATTTACATAATTTACATGTGGAAGAACTGTTCACCCACAGGGACATCAGAGATGTGTCCTTACTGATCTGTGACTTGAGAAAGTGAGATCACTGGCAATTAATACTACCACCAAATCTAATGTTATGTAACTTAACCACTGCTTTTAATGTTAGTGACCTATATTTTTTTGTGGTAAATTGTGTAAGCTCCTATTAACATGGCAGGAGTTTCATTTTGATGGCAAGGGATTTACTATGTTGACAGGAATATTAAAGAGATGACTGTAGCATTAAAGTGGCATTAGGAGCATTAAAGTTCAGACAATCATTTTGCAATGGTGGTGGGAGTTTTATAGGTGTGACAGGAATTTAAACTATTGGAAGAAGTTTCAAAGTGGTGGTAGAGGTGTTAGGCAATATTTAGGCAAGCAGACTAAAGTGTAAATTTTTAATGCATGTTCCAGCCAGTATGTTATAAGGCTGACTCCGGTAATGCATTAAATATATATTTGTTAACTTTTAGCTTGTTACATAGTGCCTATAGATTACATTGTAGGGTGATACAGCAGGTCAGTACTCTAGCTTCTTATTGATTGGAAATGTTTTGAATCTGGGACCTCAGTCATTTTAAATGTGGAGTGATATTTTGAGTGACCAAGGTCCCAGATCTAAATCATCTCCAATACAAATACAATTTTTTTTTTCTTTTCTGCAGTATACAGGTAATGTAGTTTACATGTATTAAAATACTGTTAGGTGCCAAAGAAAGCCACTGGCATGCACTTTGTCTTTTCCAGCAACCTGATGGTATCATATACTCTTTTTACTCGAGCTTCTGTATGCTAAGGGAAAGGAAATACTCTGGTAACCTTATTTTGTTTATAAAATAATTAGCAGGATAAATGAATTATTGCAGAAGCTGCTACATGTAGTTTTCCCCCAAGGGTACTGGATTTGGTAGCTAGCAGGTAAATACTGTATATACTTAAAGTTTTAAATGTTTACTTTAAAATACCCTTCAGGAAAAACAAGGGTGCTTGGATACTGGTGAAAAGTATCATTTAGAGTTATCAATAATCATAATACCAGTAATAATAATAATAATGAAAATACACGTATCAAGAATAACTATTCTTCCTTAGATCAAACTGAATTACCATGCTCTCTTTATTTCCCAGGTTTCTGATTAACATTTCGAGTTATATAATCTAATACAGTATATATATGTCTAATGAAAATCAGTAATAGAAATAATGTCCTCACAGTGGTCCTCAATATGTTAATGGCCGAAAGTCGGTCCATTTACGGAAATAGTCCCGTTATTTCGTCTTTAAGTGGCTCGCAAATGGTCCTTAACTCGCTAATCGTCTTTCAGTCTTGGGCCGCCGTATCAGGGTTGAGCAACACTATGCTCATTCAGCAATGTGCTATTGATACTATGAGCGACGGTCCCTCATGTGTATCTACGAATATATTCAAATGTTCATTCATTTTATGTGCTTGCAAGTGAAATATAAGCTCCTTGGCTTCAAAGAAAGCTACTAGTGCCAGCTTTGGTAAGAAGTGAGAAATACTATTGAATTTAGATAAACATCATTGAACAATAGAAAGTGGCGTCGTTATTGGCAAAACTGGAGCAGAGATGTAAACAAATGCCGTACAACCATGTGTTCCATGTGGAATGAAAGGACATCATGAAGCTGTTGTTGCAAAGTGTAAACATATGGGTAACAAAAATGAGATGCCAGTACTCGCAATGATGTTGGAGAAGGTATTATTGGTGTAGGATAAACGGAACAATAACAGGAGATGTTGTATGACGTCGCTTATTTGTGAAAAGCATAGGCAGTGCATGACGATTTGGATAAAGGATTGCCTGGCAACTATGGTGAAGTCAGTGAATTTAAGGCAGCAAATGCTGGTTTAGGAAATTTAAGTAGCATACTGGCATACCCAGTGTGATAAAGGCATTGGTGAGCTGCAGGTTCGAACCAAAATTTTTCAGCTGAAAAATATGTGCAGGAATTCAAGGAGTACATAGAGGCTGAAGGGACTGAAACGAACAATGTTCATTTGTGACGAAACAGCTCTTTTGAAGAAAATACCAAGAGGACCTACATTATCAGGAAGAAAAGGCACTGCCATGGGCACAAGCCTATGAAAGACAGGCTGACGCTCATGTTCTGTGCTAATGCTAGTGGGGATTTCAAAGTGAAGCCGTTACTAGTGTACCATTCTGAAAATCCCAGAGTGTTCAAGAAAAACAATATTATGAAGAGTAAATTGTGTGTGTTTTGGAGATCTAATAATAAGGCATGGGTCACGAGGGACATTTTCGTCGAAGGGGATTCCCCTTCCAAACAGTAATTCAATCTCTCTCCTCCTCCAGTCTTCCATACACTAAGAAGAATCGCCAATGAAGGTAAGTGTTATGCTGTTAATGTTTCATTCATCATGTCCCATTGTATTGTTTATGTACTACATCTATATTTCATGTAAAAAAAATTTTTGTTTTAATACTTCTGGGTGTCAGGAATGGATTAATTGTAGTATTTCCATTATTTCTTATGGGGAAAATTGATTCGAAAATCGTCTATTTCGATAATAGTCCCACTTCCAGGAATGGATTATAAACGATAATTGAGGGATCACTGTACTTGAGATAAATTTGCATAACCTGAATGAGCCTTGTGCAACTATGCTCAGCTAACAGACCAACTACTACAATTTACCTGAGACAATTCACCAATGTTCCCTATTATTAATACAACTGAAACCCTTAAAATATGGTCTGAATTTGATATACATCATCCTGTTAACATTACTTGAATGTATTTTGCTTAGGGCAAATTGAAACCCGAGCCGAGAGCAGCCAACCGGATAGTCTTTGGCATTGTTACATCTCTCTTCTTTCAGAATTTTATAATATTTCTCTTTGTACAGGGCAGTTAGAGAGAGCATTGTGTGCCATGACCTAGCCATGACCTCACAGCATTATGATACCAAGTCCTCCCAGCATTTTAACACTCCCAATGACAATACATTCAGCGATTCCCACTGCAGCAACCTTGCACAGACCCAGGGTGAGTGAGTGGAATAACTGTACTTGTACACTAGTTTCAGCAGCAAAGCTATATTCATTTTCCTTCTATAATAACAGCTATTATATAAGTGTTTCTTCTTTTTTGGGTCACCCTACCTTTGTGGGATATTCCTGGTGTAATAAAAAAAAAGAATGTTTTTAAAGGTTTCCAACAGTTATAACACACACTATCTCTTGGATCTCTTTACCTGATACCAATCACACTAAAGAAATATTTTCTTAACATTTTCTGCAGTTATTGTAATTTGAAAGTATAATAATTTGTTCTCTCTCATGCTTGTACCAAAAAAAGTGTCTTGTTTAGTAGGGATTGAGGGGGGTTGAGCAATTATAGTTATATTCTCTTTCTGCCCTGCCTTCCAATGGAAGCATTTCTAGTACAGTATCTTCAGTTTTTCTTTAAACAAGTCACTTTTTTTTTTTTAACTTTGGAAGCTATTATGTTGCATACCTATAAACTTCTGCTGCACTACTATTTTTTTTTTTTTTTTTAATTCTGGGAACCATTTGCCACTGACATTCATTGTATGTTCATTGTACCTGTTAATAACAAGCACATAGATAATGTTTTTCTGATGATATTTTATGTACGTATTTTATGTATTCATTCAGGTATTTTCAGGGTTTATTTGACATTAATTTTAAAGGTCTCTATTTGCAATTTCATGTTTTGATCAGACATTATATCTATAATGAAATCTGTCATCCATTTATTCACTTGTGCTTAATCAACCCAAGTTTTTACAGATTTTCTGTTTTACCTGATATTTTTGTGATATTCAAACTTATTTATATCCTCTTTTATTTCCTCTGGCAAGGCATTAGTGTAAATTAGAAACATTATCAGAGTGAACACTGATCTTTGTTTTGCCTTACTGGTGATCTTTCTATTAATAACTTTTCTTTCTTTTATCACGTAACTGGCCTCATTTCTCTTGCCAAACATCTTTCATTCTATTCACTTGATGTTTTGAATTATAAGAAACTGCTTTCTGTAAAGGGTTACATGAATCACTTTTGCAGTACTGACCATCCAGTAGACTCTGTTATACTATTCAATAGATGAAGAATTAGACACATGTGCAACAGCTGGGTATCTTGAGTATGTAGACATTTCACCAACCAGTGGCTTTATCAATACAATACAGGGACAAGAACAGAAGACTAAAAAGGTTGAAGAGGAGGTAATCAGTTCCTCAGCCTAAGAGCATATGTTCACTGCTGTAATCTTGTTGAATCAGAAGCACTGAAGTAAGAAGTGGGCTTATATACTGAAGTCAGTTGAGTTGCAGCAGACAGAGGCATTGTCTCTGGTAGGTGGAAGTAGGTCATGTCCAAAAGTTGGGCCAGTGTTAGTAAGTAGTTGTATAGGTGTCCTCTGTGCCAAGATTCCTTGCTGTTGCTGTGTCTGACACGTATAACAACATCAGTGGTATGTGATACCGACAAGTTGAATACATAATAAAGACACCTAGTTGTTGCACATGTGTCTAATTCTTCAACTTGTTGGTATTACATACCACTGATGTTGTAGAACACGATCTACAAGATCTTGTACTACTAAATCTTGCTTATCTGATTGTCAAGAAGGATAGGGAGTTATTCATAGAAAATGACAAGGTGTATGTAGATGTAAGCAACTTTTCACAAGTCTTCATTAGAGAGCCCCTCAAGAGAGGTTCTTTGATGCTGGTGAGGGGCTCTTGATATAAAGAATCAGACTCGCCTTTCCCTTTCTTTAATCACACCTTTTTGCCTCCCATTTTCCCAGGTACTGTTTTACCTCTGTGATTTAGCACTCATTCCACCTCCCCTCAGTATAATAATACTTCACTAGAGAGCGAGCATGACTGCCAGGCATGAGGCAGGCTTTGTTAAACTAAATTTTAGAATGTTCACAAAAATAAAGGAAGTGGTATTGGAGCACCAGCATGAACTGGACATTATAGATGAATGGTTCAGAGAACCGACATGTTGATAAATTAGACACATGTGCAACTCTTGCGTATCTTTATTGAGGAATAAAGATACGCAAGAGTTGCACATGTGTCTAATTTATCAACATGTCGGTTCTCTGAACCATTCATCTACAAACCTGTCAGACACTGCAACTTCTTGGGATCTTAATACTTGGGAATTCTTCGCTTGCCTAATTCTTGGGCACGACCTACTTCAACATTGAACAAATGTTACACGACCTATGACTGCTTCACCTCTCCTGCCAACGGTTTATAAGCTCCTTCTCAGCACGTATGCCGTATTCTATTCAAGATTGATGGACTGACCACATCGACTCAAGGTTGAGGGACTGATTACCTCATTCTCCTCCTGTTCTTCAAGATTCTCCTTTGTATGGACTGATGAAGCCACTGTGTGGCAAAACGTTTCCTCAATAAAGATACGCAAGAGTTGCACATGTGTCTAATTTATCAACATGAACTGGACATAGCACTTAGTGGCTGTGAGGCTCAGTATAATATTATCATGGATACAAGAGGGCCTCGCTTTATAACGCTTCACTTTGCAGCGTTTCGCTAATACAGCAGTTTTCAGTTATACCCATTCTTTGTTTATTCAGGCTACCTACAATAAATATATTCATCACTCACTATAAGCTAAGTACAAAAATATTTTAAGGTAAGTAGTGCATTTTTTATGTCTAGCTCTATTAATCCCTTAATATATGATAGTGTAAACATGTTATCAGGCTTTTATAAGCATTTGAAAGTTAAAAAAAAGGCTGTTTCATTTTACAGTGATTGCCTGGAACTTAACCTGCTGTATAAGCAGTACTGTACTGAAATTAGATGTCAAAGTTCTGAGGAAGCCATTCCTGATTATATGCAATAAATTACTTGAGATGGGAAAACTCTTGTACCACCAGATCACATCTATTGTGGTAATGATCTTCTGAAGGTTATCTGATAGGCTAGTATTCTTAACTTGTATACCATGAGAGGTAATGGAATAATATCAAAAAGATGGATGGGATATTGGGAGTGAAGGGGCTTTATTACAAAACACTAGTACTAGTTTAGTGAACACAAATCCTGCCATACTACCCTGTTAAAATTTTGTGTAACACTGATGCCTCTTTGAATTTTAAATTCATACTGCACAGCTTTATCAGCTATAACCCAACTTTTTCAGCTTTTGTCCTTCTTTAACACCACCTCTTCTTCCCCAATCTCTCTTGTTTTCTCTCTGTGGGTTTAGTGCTTTCCATGAATATAGTAATTGTATGTAAAGCTGTTGGATGTCAGGTAGAATTGGATGGGGAAAGGAGAATGCATATGTTTGAACTGTGCAAAACTGATCCACACATGAGGTACAAGCCAGGATCATAAATTATGGTTCACTGGTTTATGGAGAGGCAAAGTGAGGGATGAAGCACGAGTAACAAAGGTAATAAGTCCAAAAGTGATCACTACTAAAACCTATGCTGTAACTGAATGTCATCGTATATGGGTATTGGAAAAACTCTTGAGAAGGATACGAGAGGACAGACAAAGTGAAAATGCAGGAGTAGGACAAAAAGAAACTGTTGGAGCAGGAGGATGGAAAGAAACCGCAATAGGAGGATGAAAAAAGAATCCGTAAGATGAGGACAAAAAGAAACTTTAGGAGTACTTAGATAAAGGACATGAATAGTTTTAATAAATGCGAGGGTCTTGGCAAGAGGCGTGGAGTTAAAAGATAAAGAATCACACACAAAGTGGGAGTTGTCACAGCTGCTCTTTGCTGATGACACTGTGCTCTTGGGAGATTCTGAAGAGAAGCTGCAGAGATTGGTGGATGAATTTGGTAGGGTGTGCAAAAGAAGAAAATTAAAGGTGAATACAGGAAAGAGTAAGGTTATGAGGATAACAAAAAGATTAGTTGATGAAAGATTGAATATCAGATTGGAGGGAGAGAGTATGGAGGAGGTGAACGTATTCAGATATTTGGGAGTGGACGTGTCAGCGGATGGGTCTATGAAAGATGAGGTGAATCATAGAATTGATGAGGGAAAAAGAGTGAGTGGTGCACTTAGGAGTCTGTGGAGACAAAGAACTTTGTCCTTGGAGGCAAAGAGGGGAATGTATGAGAGTATAGTTTTACCAACGCTCTTATATGGGTGTGAAGCATGGGTGATGAATGTTGCAGCGAGGAGAAGGCTGGAGGCAGTGGAGATGTCATGTCTGAGGGCAATGTGTGGTGTGAATATAATGCAGAGAATTCGTAGTTTGGAAGTTAGGAGGAGGTGCGGGATTACCAAAACTGTTGTCCAGAGGGCTGAGGAAGGGTTGTTGAGGTGGTTCGGACATGTAGAGAGAATGGAGCGAAACAGAATGACTTCAAGAGTGTATCAGTCTGTAGTGGAAGGAAGGCGGGGTAGGGGTCAGCCTAGGAAGGGTTGGAGGGAGGGGGTAAAGGAGGTTTTGTGTGCGAGGGGCTTGGACTTCCAGCAGGCATGCGTGAGCGTGTTTGATAGGAGTGAATGGAGACAAATGGTTTTTAATACTTGACGTGCTGTTGGAGTGTGAGCAAAGTAACATTTATGAAGGGATTCAGGGAAACCGGCAGGCCGGACTTGAGTCCTGGAGATGGGAAGTACAGTGCCTGCACTCTGAAGGAGGGGTGTTAATGTTGCAGTTTAAAAACTGTAGTGTAAAGCACCCTTCTGGCAAGACAGTGATGGAGCGAATGATGGTGAAAGTTTTTCTTTTTCGGGCCACCCTGCCTTGGTGGGAATCAGCCAGTGTGATAATAAATAAATAAATAAATGCAAAGCAATGATGATAATAGGAACCATAAAATATGTAATTGGTGGCCTGGGTAGGAAGCAACTTTGGGTATTGTACAGAGAAAAGAACTTGGGTTGACACACTCCTGAGGTACATACAAGCTAGATACATAGCAGCAGCATTTGCATGACTGACAGATGTATGAACCATCTTCAGGAACCTAAAAGGGAAGCTTTATGTATGCAGTTCCAGGCAGTAGTCGAGCACATGAAGAAGCTTGAGAAAATCACAGGTTTGCAGCCAGGTTTGCTTAAATGAAGAGTCAGTAAATTTGTTAGACAAGAACAGCCCTTTGTGAATCTTTGTTTAAACTCATTAATATATGTTATTGATACTTACGATTTGCTTACTATTGAAGTCAGGCTAATTGGGCAATAGTTTTACAGTAGGAATCAAAATAGCCATCTTCTATGTATCTGTGACACCTGTTGGCAGTGATATATTTAACACTGATCAAGTGGCAATAGTGTATGGAACCACTACTGGAAGTTACTATTCTCTGTTTATTCTGAGTTAACCCTTTCAGGGTCCAGAGGCTAAATTTCGAAGGGTGCACCAGGGTCCAAGACTTTTCAAAAAATAATTTTGTTATTTTTTCTTATGAAATGGTAGAGAATCTTTTTCTGAAGGTAATAAAACAAAAAGTACGAAATTTGATGGAAAAATGACAAAATTATGCTCTCGTGAATTTTGATGTTTCGGTGATATTTACGCATCAGCGATTTTGCTGACTTTGACTCCCATTTTAGGCCAATTACAGTATTCCAGTCAACCAAATTCTTAGCTATTTCACTAGTATTACTTCTATTCTATTGATTGAGCACAAGAAATTGCCAAGTCAGCTGTTTCAACAACAAAATAAAGTGACCGGAAATTGGTAATTTGGCCAATTTAATGCAAAGTTTAAAATATTCCCATTTCAAAAGAGGGTCCAGAATAAACAATGCAGGCATTCCTGGGACTAAACTAACATTTCCTCTGTTCATTAGTTACATTTTTCAGGCTTTACAAATGAACTCCATTTTTATTTTTTATTCACATAATGAATTTTTATTCAAACCAAAAAAATAGAAGATTTACTGTTATGCAATACTGTAATAATTGTATAAATAATATCATCACATCTGTGAATGTATATTAGACCCACCAGCTGTCATGTATTAGACTTGTGAGGTCATTAGTTTACTCTTGAACATAGGCAAAAATTTAACATTTCTGCTACTTTGAGCTCAGTTTCAAGCCATTTCCAGTACCAAAACCAATCAAAATCATCTCTATTTCTGTAGTATATCTTCAGTTCTATCAAATGAGACCAAGAAATTGCAAATACAGTGGACCCCCGGTTTACGATCAGCTCCCAATGCGACCAGTTATGTAAGCGTATTTATGTAAGTGCGTTTGTATGTGTATGTTTGGGGGTCTGAAATGGACTAATCTAATTCACAATATTCCTTATGGGAACAAATTTGGTCAGTACTGGCACCTGAACATACTTCTGGAATGAAATAATATCATAAACCAGGGGTCCACTGTACACCTATAAAGAATGTACGAAAAACACTGCAAAGTCGCTGTTTTAATCGAAAATTATGGTCTCAGTTTTTTTCTCATTATGCACTGTGTGCTGCAGGATTTGTTTTATGTGGTGCACACATACCACATAGATTTATTCTCTCATATCTAGGCCAAAATTTACTGCTCAGCTTATCAGCGAGCTGAGCTCATGGCGTCGATCTACGGTTTGGACCCTGAACGTAAAGCCATTGATCTATGGCACGGACCCTGAAAGCGTTAATGCTGCCATATCTTCAGTACTTATTCAACATAGGTGCTCTGAAGACTTAGGTAAACCATGAATTGCACTTATTTTGCAGGCTCTACGTATGGTCAGAGCTTTAGTGGAAGTGAGACAGATGTGAGCACATCAACAGAAAATCTGAGTCCTGAGGAACGCTATGCTTTAGAGCACACACAAAGACAAGAACCTCAGGGCCAAGAGAATGTTGGGAGTACTTCTAACAGCATGGCTAGTTCACATCTATCTCAGCCATCAACAGTGGTGACAAGTGGGGCTTCCAGTGTATCCACGGCAAGATCTAATGAGTAAGTTTTTTTTTTTTTTTTTACAACCTTTTAGTTTTTAATTTATCTTGAGTGTAATTGACAAATTTCGAAAATTCACTGTAAGGAGTGAATAATTTTTTATTCCACAATTATGTACAGTAAACCCTCTCATAACAGGTGGGATACCTTCCTGAATATCTATGCCTTTTTTAAATTAGCAGTACACTATAGGAAGTGAAAAACACATGGGAAAAATTAGGTTATGTTCTAGACACCTCCAAATTTGCTAGGTATCTTTTTAATATTATGCTAAGTACAAATTACATGCTACAGGTTCTCTTACCTTCAGTTCTAATTGTCATTGCTTGTTGACATGCAGGTGTGTGGATCACTAAATTCACACAGTTATGAAGGTTTGTCTTCCCACTTACACAGTTTTGTAGTAGAATGGGGCTTTGTACCTTACTAAATGCAAACCAGACAGGGCCCCTTTCCTTGTTTTCTCCCCCAGTCCATACATTCAGTACTTCTCTGTCTTATCTGCAGCTGTAATGACCTCTTTGACATTCATGTTCACCAGGTCTCAGTCTACATTACTCATTGCATGAGCTTTTATTTCCTTCTCATTATCTAATTGTATGAATGGTGGAGTCTCTCAGAACAAAAGTCAAGCAGTCTGTATCACACGGGCACCATCACATAGCACATCTAAAATTTCCACTTTAATTAATGCCATTGAGCTTCATGCTTATTATTCTTCACACTTCCTTCATCACTTATATTCCTCTTGGGTGCCAGGGTTAATATATATCCATAGACAAGAAGGGGGGATGAAAAGATCCAAAATTGTTTGATAATGCAGAGTATGGCACACAAGAAAGCAACTGTAGGTGTCATGGCTGGCATTGGAGGAGGGAAGAAGCTACACCTCTTCAAACACTTAACCCTTAGGCCTAACTTAGGTTGGGGGGAAAAAGTTTCAGTGTCTGGTACTCAGATTTTGTACATAACTTGTTATTTCTATGCTTATTGAATGTACTGGGCTTTTTCGTGCACTATGCAATTTTAGATTTGCTTTTCCAGTCTCATTTTCACAATCACTATATAGTGTCATGTTACAAGAGGGTTTACTGTACCATAATCAGTTTTTTTTTGTTTTCCAGTTGCAATGCATCTATCAGCAGCAGCACAAACACACTTATAATTCATAATTCGGTGAGTGATGACCTCTGGAATTATAGATGGACTCCTGGTGGATACTCCACCCCTATGACTAGCAGGAAATCTATGTAAGTTCCATCAAAAATGTCCCAGTTATCAATGACCCATATTTATTTAATGCATTTTTTGTGTGAATGTAATATTAGCAGAAATGCCTACCTGGTAATCTGCATAAAGTGCAGAATGAGCATTATAAAAAAATGACAGTTTTGAATGTACTTTATTATTAAATAATAGTAAGAAAAAAGTACTGCATGTATCTGCTCTGGAAATGCCCCTTCTTAACTCTTTCAGTGTCGATCCAGTAGTACTTTGGTTTGAGAGCCAGTTTTGGTCCAGTAGTACTATGCCAAAATTCTAGCGCCTTCAGATCTGGTGGAAGAAACCTGGTAGACCTACATATGAAAGAATGGGTCTGCTTGGCCAGTATGCGCAGTATAAAAAAAATCCAGCAGCATGCAGTGCATGAGGAAAAAAACTCTGTGTGTTTGGTTTGAAACGGCTACTTTCTGGTGTATTTTCGTATGGTATTTATGGTTGTATTCTCGTTTTCTTGGTCTTGTTTGATAGAATGGAAGATATATTACAGAAATGGAGATGATTTTGATTGGTTTCACGAAAAATACCTTGAAATTGAGCTCAAAGTAGCGGAAAATTTCAGTTTTTACCTATGTTCAAGAGTAAACAAATGAAATCACTTTCCAATACATGTCAAACTAGCTAGTCTGATATGCAGTCACGAATGGGTTGACATTATTTATACAATTATTATAATAATGGAGTACTAGTCTGAATAACAGTAAATCTGCTTTTGAGGGAATAAATGGGAATGAATGGAGACGAATGGTTTTTGGGACCTGACAAGCTGTTGGAGTGTGAACAGGGTAATATTTTGTGAAGGGATTCAGGGAAACTGGTTTGCTGATCTAGAGTCCTGGAAATGGGAAGTACGTACAATGCCTGTACTATAAGGAGGGGTTTAGGATATCTGCAGTTTGGAGGGACATCTCTGCAAAGACATTGATTATGTATGAGTGATGGTGAAAGTGTTGAATGATGAAAATTTTTTCTTTTGTTTTGGTCAGAGTGTTAAGAAAAAATGTTTTTGTTGATTTTTTAACAAATAAAATAGGAAGTAATAAAAATAAATATTAAACTACCATTTTAAATGTAATACAGTGAACCCTCGGGTAACGGCATTAATCCTTTCCAGAAAGCTTGCCTTTAACTGATTTTGCCATTAGCTGAATTAATTTTCCCCATGAGAAATAATGGAAATCCAATTAATCTGTTTCAGACACCCAAAAGTATTAACAAAAAATAACTTTTTTAAAGATTAAATATAGATTTTTTTTTTTTTTTTATCACACTGGCCGATTCCCACCAAGGCAGGGTGGCCCGAAAAAGAAAAACTTTCACCATCATTCACTCCATCACTGTCTTGCCAGAAGGGTGCTTTACACTACAGTTTTTAAACTGCAACATTAACACCCCTCCTTCAGAGTGCAGGCACTGTACTTCCCATCTCCAGGACTCAAGTCCGGCCTGCCGGTTTCCCTGGACCCCTTCATAAATGTTACTTTGCTCACACTCCAACAGCACGTCAAGTATTAAAAACCATTTGTCTCCATTCACTCCTATCAAACACGCTCACGCATGCCTGCTGGAAGTCCAAGCCCCTCGCACACAAAACCTCCTTTACCCCCCTCCCTCCAACCTTTTCTAGGCCGACCCCTACCCCGCCTTCCTTCCACTACAGACTGATACACTCCCTGAAGTTATTCTGTTTCGCTCCATTCTCTCCACATGTCCGAACCACCTCAACAACCCTTCCTCAGCCCTCTGGACAACAGTTTTGGTAATCCCGCACCTCCTCCTAACTTCCAAACTACGAATTCTCTGCATTATATTCACACCACACATTGCTCTCAGACATGACATCTCCACTGCCTCCAGCCTTCTCCTCGCTGCAACATTCATCACCCATGCTTCACACCCATATAAGAGCTTTGGTAAAACTATACTCTCATTCATTCCTCTCTCTGCCTCCAAGGACAAAGTTCTTTGTCTCCACAGACTCCTAAGTGCACCACTCACCCTTTTCCCCTCATCAATTCTATGATTCACCTCATCTTTCATAGACCCATCCGCTGCAGTCCACCCCAAAAATTTTGTTACATTTCACCTCCTCCATACTCTCCCCTCCAATCTGAAAACCAACCCTTTCCCATCCCCCTTTAATTTTTTTTGGTTATCCTCATAACCTTACTCTTCTGTATTAATTTTTAAATTTTTCTTCTTTTGCAACCCCCAAAACCAAATTCATCCACCAATCTCTGCAACTTTTTTTTTTCAAATCCCCCAAAGAGCAAAGGTTTTTAAACGCAAAAAAAGGCAACTTAAACAACCCCCCATTTTGGGTTGTGATTTTTTTAAATCTTTTTAAACTCCAGGGCTCTTGCCAAACCCTCGCATTTACTTCTCTTAAAACCCCCATCTATAAATTTTTTAAAAAAAACCACGGTGAATCACACACCCTTTCAAAAGGCCTACTTTTTAACGGGGAAAAAATTTCCCTTTTTTTCCCTACTTTACTCAATTTGGGACCCTCACAATCCTCGAAAAAACCCCTCTTCCGCTTTCAGAAAACCCCCTCCTACCCCATACCCCCGGGCAAAAATCTGCCCACATCCCCCCCTTTTCCACCCTGTCAAAAACGTTTTTTCCCCCAAATCCATAAACCCACAAAGACCCCCTTTAGCCTTATCTAAAAAACTGTTCACTTATATGTTTCACTTTTAAACACCGGGTCCCACTCCCCCCCTTCCCTTTCCAAAGCCTCCTTGTTCTTTTGCTATCCAATTCCCCTCTTACTCTTAATTTTTTCAAAAATTTAACTCTACCCATAACCTTTCCCCGGGTATACTCAACGCCCTTATCCCCCTAAAAATTTTTTCTCTCTCTTTTACCCTGTTTGTATATAGTTTATAAATCCCAGAAAACAAGAAAAATTTAATATAAATCACTAATAAAAGGGGAAAAAATGAACAAAAAAACATCACACTTCCCTTTTTTTTGAAGATTTTTGGTGAAAGGGCCCGACGGGAAAAGAGGGGAAAGAGGGAGGCGAGTTTTTTTTTTCAATTATGACGTTTAAAAACCTTCAAAGGGGCTTTTTTAAACCATCAAAATTGTTTTAATTCGACAAAAACAATATTAATAACATAGAAAAAATTGATAAAATTTTGGGTTTTTCATTCACTTTTCGTTAATTTTCTAACTTTTAAATTCTACATTTTTAATTAAACGGGCGGGAAACTATGGGCCTTTTCGATACCTGCTGCTTTAGTATGTAAAATTGTGGGAAATCACGGCAGAAACCCACATTCTCCCCCCCCTCTTCCTCCTCCATTTTTGGGTATTTTTTGCATGATTTTTTTTCTTGAATTCTTTTTGTTTTTTCCTCCTTCCCCACAGGGGGCCGGGAACCCCCCTTTTTCCCAAAAAACCCCCTTTTTTGAAAAAAAGCTAAAAAGGGAAAATCCAAAATCCCCCCCAAAAGAACGCTTGGAAAGCCCTCGGCAAACCCAAGGGCCCACCCGGCAAAAAACCATGGGTTCCGGGCCCATGGGGACACGTTTGGGCGAATGCCTTAACCAATTTCTTGGCGAAACCCGACCCCCAAAAAGACCCCAAAATTGGGGTGCCGAAACCCTTTTTTTGGCGTTAGTCGAGGCCGCGGGTTAAAACGAGGGCCCCCACCTGAAATTTCGACAAAAAGGAAAGATAAACCGTAACTTACGAAAAAATTCGGGTTTCTATAAAAAAAAATTTTCAATATTTTTAGCAAAAAAGGGGCGGGCTTGCAGTCTTTCTTGACCCGAGAATTTTTTAAATTTTTTAAAAAATTTTTTTTTCGGGGCTCTGGGGAAATGCAGACATTGCTGCAAACCTTAAAAATTTAATTCAAAAAGGTTAAACTACTCCCAAAAATAACCCTTTTTACCTAGCCCGAAAAAGTTTGTAAAAAAAAAATATGTTTTATAATTTTATCTTCGTGGCTTCGACATATAAAAACTCAAAGTTTGATTTTAGTGCCAAAAAAATTTTTTACATTTCAGTGAAAAAATAAAAAAAAGCCCGGAAAAATTCTTTTCTAAACTCAAAAAAAAAGGGACAGTGAAAAAACATTAAGAATCTTGATGAACCCAAAATGTGTAAATTTTGAAAATAACGGGAAAAATGTTTTGTGTATTTTTCGAAGGGGCTGCGGGCAGGGGATCAGGGGAAAGTTGTTTTAGGATAGCAAACAACGGGGAAACCCCTTTTCTCATTCCGGGGGTTTCTGAAAAAAAAAGGGATTTTCCCTTAGGGAGGGGACAAAAAATCCCACCAAGTGGCAGAAAAAACTCAAAAGGGTTTTCCCCTGCAATTGGGTTTTGATCTGCATCCTATATAAAATTTAAAAAATTTATGGATTTTGTAGTTTTTGGGGTTTTAAATTAATGAAACTGAACACAACCCAAAGGGTTTTGGGGCATGAAAGCATTTCCTGTGGAAAGTTAATGAGTTTGGGGAAAAAGGGTTTTTTTGGGGAAACCCTTTGATGAGCCATTAAAAGTGTTAGTAAGGAAAATATTTTGTGAAGGGATTAGGGAAACTAAATTTCTGTTTTTCCCAGAGGGGGCTCAGATATAAACAGTTTAGAACTCCCCCCAAAACTGCAATACCCCAAAACCCCCCCTTAAAAGTGCGGGCATTGAAACCCCCTTTTCCCCGGCCCTTTAAAACGGGCAAACCGGTTTTTCCCTGAACCCCCTTCAAAAAATATTATCTTTTTCAAAACCCCAAAAAGCTCTTTGGGTCCAAAAAATTCGTCCCCAAATCACCCCTTTTTAAAACATGCCCCCTGCAAGAAATGCATGCATGCGGGAAGCCCAAAACCCCTTCACCCAAAAAACCCCCTTTACTCCCTTTTCTCCAACCTTTTGAAAGACAACCCATCCCCTGCCTTCCTTTCCCTAAAAAGATTTATACTCTTCCAAGATCATTTACTTTTTTTTCCTTTTTTTTTTAAAAATGCCAAACCACCCCCAAAACACCCCTTTCTTCTGCCCTCAAAACAAATTTACTTTTAGTTAACCCTCCAAAACCTCCTTTTTTCCAAACCACCCAAATTCTCTGAAAATATTTACATGCCATTCCCCCCTCCCTCCAGCCGCCTCCTCCCCTGGCATTTAAAAAACCCAAACCCTTCACCCCCCCTTTAAGAGTTTTTGGCCACTATATTTTCATACTTTCCCTTTCTTTGACCCCCAGGGATATGTTTTTTTTTCCCTCCTAAAGTGCACTACCCCCTTTTTTTTTTTTCATCAAATTTTTTTGGATAACCATTTTTCCCAAAACCCATCTGCTGACAAGTAAACTCCCAAATATCTGAAAACATTCATTCTTCCAACCCCCCTCCTCCCAAAGGTATCCCCAAATTTTTTTTTATCTAAAAACGTATTATACCCTCATACCTTTCCCCTTATCTATGTTCACTTTCAACTTTCTACCTTTAACACCCTCTGGGAACTCATTCCCCTAAACCTTTTCAAAATTTTCTTTAGAATCTCCCAAAAACCCCAATAAACAAACCAAAAAGTAACTGTTTCCCAACCCCCATTTGTACTAATTTCCCCTTAAAAAGAATCCCACCCCCCCCTCCCCCAAAACCCTAGCATTTTACTTCTTTTAAAATTCCATCAGTTTTAAAAATATTTAAAAAAAACCCTGGGGACAATTTCACATTCCTTTTTAAAACCTACTTTTACCGAGAAGTAATCCCCCTCTCTAAAAACAAACCAAAAACCCGAGCCTCCTTTCCTCATAAATCCTTTTCCCGCATTTAGAACTTTCCCTTCCCATTCCAACACTTTTATCACCGCCACATTGCTCACCTATTTACTCTATCATATGCCTTTTCTAAATCCATAAATGGGAAAGGGGAAATTCCCCCCCTTTTTTCTAAATTTTTTCACCCAATTTTTTGCTCAATTAAAAAAACTTGAAAGCACATCCCCCCACCCACTCTAAAGCCCTTTTTGCTATTTTCAATCCTTTCTCCTGTCTTACCTCAATTCTTTCAATAATAAACCCCCCCGTACCCCTTTTCCTGGGATACTCAGTAAACTTATTCCCTTTAAATTTTTTTCAATCTTTTTGTCCCCCTTTCCCCTTTTATAAAGGGGAAAAATAAAATGCTTTTTGCCAATTCCCAGGTACTTTTTTTCCCCTTTCATACATTTATTAAAAAAAAATAAACCCAACACTCCCAAAACCCCCTGTTTCCCCCCCCCTTTCTTTTTGGGAAATTTTTGGGCATGATCCCCCTTTAGTTCCCCCTGCTTTTAAAACCTCACATCCTGCTTTTTCTTCACTCCAAAAAAATGTTAATTTCCTCCCTGGGGGTTTCAGAAAATTTTTCCCCCTCCCTTCCCTTTATCGAAATTTGAAAAATTTTCCCAAAAAAATTCCCACCCTCTACCCAATTCCCCCTCCCCCCAAATAACCCCCCCTACCCCTTCTTTTTTAATTGACAAAACCCGTTTTATTTTTCCCAGAAAAAAACTATTAAGAAAAAATCAAAGAAAACTCAATGAAAAAGTATGCATAAAAGTTTTTAAAATGCATTTGTAGTGTGACCTAAGTGTAAGTAAAGTAGCAAGACATACTTGAAAACTTGCCCTTTTTTTTTGAGACAAAAAAAAAAAAACCCAGCAAAACCCACCATAAAGTTTAAAAAAAAAATTTCAGGCTTCCCTTTTAAAACCACCTTTGGGAGGACGGGAAATACCTCCCTGGTGGTTTGCTGGTCTACCAAACCTTCCCATTTTTTTCTTTTTTTTCTCACTTTAAAATGCTTTGATAGTTTGGTATATATTCAAAGCTTTAGAAATTTTTTCTAAGCAAAATTTAAATTTATACAGATAAAGGGCAAGAAGTGTTAAAATTTCAAGATACTTTTAAGATAAAACAAATAACCCCCCACAAAAAGAGAGAAGCTTACGACGACGTTTCCGGGCCGGGCTTTTTTTAAAAGGGCCCAAAGTGGACCCAAAAAATCACATTGCTTCCTCTTTTACGTTTCGGGGTTTTTTGTGTAACGGTTTCCCGCAAAGGTTTAGGCCCTTTTTTTTATATTTTTTTACTTTGAATGGTTTTTGGGCCCGGGGGGAAAAGGGGGGGGCCTTTTTCGTGAGATGGGTACCACTCATCTCCCCAAAAATTTCTTTTCTGACTAAGGGAAAAAACTGGATTTTCCCCCCTTTCCCGGGCTCAAGTCTTGCTTTCCGTTTTCCCTGAATTCCTTCAAAATGATACCTTGCTCACATTTCCCCAAAAGCACAAAAAATCTTGCCTCCATCACTCCTAAACCCAGCAAAGCCAAAACAAGCCGCTTTGGGTTTCCCCAAATCCCCAGCCCGAAAACCTCCCATACTTCTTCCCCTCCCTACTTTAGGAATTTCCCAAGAGAAAGTGAGAAAGGGAAAAGCCTGGATAAAGGGAAAGATTTACTGTAAATAATATATACTGTTTTGTAATTAAATGCCCCAATTCTTTGTTACACTTATTGAGTATTCTTCAAATATACTAAAACTTTTTACACATCCCTTATTTCCCTTCCCAAAGCCTTCTTTACCCTCTGCACCTTTTTACCCTTACCATTTTAATATTAAAATTTTTCCATATAAATTTACCATTGTACCTAAGCCGACATCTTCCCCAATAAAATTCCCTTTAAAAATCTTTTCCCCTTTTTTTCTTGGACAGAGGATGTGCATGCCTTTCCCCTAGAAATGGCCGTTTTTAGTTTTTTAAGTCGTAGTAAGCGAAAATTTTTTTGAACCTTCCCTGCTTTGTTTAAAAGAAAAATTTTTTCTTAACAGAAATTTTTTTTCTTATCAGAGATATATTTTAAAAACTTAATTTTATGTCAAAACAATTTTTTTTTACTTAAAAAAGGGAATTTTTCTACACGGGGCAGGGGAACCCCAAAAAAGGAAAAAAACCCTTCACCATCATTCCTTCAGTTACTGGCTTTCTAGAAGTAAAGGTTAATCACACTTGGATTCCCTTTTTAAAAATTTTAGCATCCCAACCCCCTTTTTCAAGTGCAGCCACGCCTTTCCCTCTCCAGGGGCCCCCAAGTCTGGCTTATCATTTCCCCCTTTTTTTTATAAATTTCTAAATTGCTCACACTCCTCAGCATGGGTTTAAAAAGCCACTTGCTTCCATTCACTCCTATCCCGACATGCACACACAAGGGCCCGCCCGAATGTCAAGCAGAAACCCAAATGGGCTAAAAATTTTAAATTGTTTGAGCAGTAAATGGCAAAAATAAAATTTTTGGATTCTAATTAAAAATGGTAAGAAAATTTGGCAGATCTTTAGTGGTATTGCAAAAATACTGTAAAAGTATAACCCTGAGAAAGTGGGCCCCCACTGGGAGAAAATTTTCCACAGTTTTTTCCTAGGGCTTTCTTTTTTTTCACTTAAGAATACAATGTTGAAATTTTTTATTTTTAATGTTTTTAGGTTTGAAAGCCCCCCTTCAAAAATGGTTATATTTTGTTTTTTTATTCATTTAAATATTTTTATTTGTTTTTGAGGTAAATAAAAAACAAAATTTTGGTAAATTTTTGAACTTTTAAAATTTTTTTTTGCAGGTCCTTTTAAGTCTTCTTTATGGCCAAAAGAGAGGGTCGCCTTATACAAATTTTTAGATTTCACCAAATCAACCTGGAATTCTCAAACTAAAAATCATCGTTTTGAATTCCCCTTTTGGCCCCACCCCATCCCGCACTTTAATACGATTTCCAAAAACCCAATCTGCTTACATCTTCATTGAAAATTTTTCTTTGTTGGGTTCTGCAATGTTTTGGTCAAAAAACATCTGCAAAATTTTTACCCTTTACCTAGTAGTATTCCCGGGTCAAACCCAAATTGTCTTCCCTTCACCATGAAGGGATCAAGGTGCCACAGATTACCAGATATCCCTTCCCATTAAATTTTGACCAGCAGAAGTGCTTAAACTTTTTTCAAACATGAAGGAAAGGGAAAAGGGGGTTTTAGTGACCAGAGTGTTCCCCCGTTCCAAAAGTGGAATCAAAAAATTTTAAAAAAATGAAGGGGGCTGGTACAATGATGAGAGACCTGTCCCCGAAAATCCCCTTGTTCAGTGATTTTGGTTTCCACTGTAACTATGACTTGCTTTAAACCCTTTCCACCACCGCCAGCCCCAATGTGGGGAAGAAAGGCCTTTAAAAAAAAAAGCTTTAAGAAACTATTAAGAATGGAAAGGAAAAATTTGCATTTTTCCAAGTCACAACCCCGATCTTACAAAATTGAAAAATGCCAAAAAAGCCACTGTCCCAAGGAACGGCTGATGAAGGGGAAAACTTTGGGAATTTTACCAGTATGTCCCTTTAAAATTGTTTTCGGATATATTACTAAGATTGGGTGTTATTTCAAAAATATTATACAAAAATTTTTGGAATTTTAAAGGGAAAAAATTTTAAATTTTTCATTTTTTTGGAACAGAATTGGGTCAGAAAAAAATAAACTTTGCGGGAGGGCCCCTATGCAGGAAAGGGGCGACATTTTAGTAAAGGGTAAAAACCCTTTAAAAATGGGGGTTGTTTGTATCAAAAAAAAAGTTTTGCCAAACTTCAGAGGGTAAGTGCCATTTGTTGCTGAAAACTATTATTCATTTTTAAATTTTGTTTTTTTGGGAATTAAAAATATGTGCAACATCTGGGCATCTTTGTAGACATTTTTACCATCCTTTGGCTTTTTTTTATACCATTACATACATAAGGGGTTTTTGGGTTTTTTTTCCCTTTTAAAAACCCCTTCAGGGCCCAAGGGCCCCAAAAACTGAAGTGGGTCCCTCCAGGGGCCAAAAATTTTTGAAAAAAAAAAAAAATTATTTTTTTTTACAAAAATTTAAAGGGCTATTTTTTGGGGAAAGGTAAAAAGGAAAAAAAAAAAAAATTCTGCCCCAGAACTTACCGAGATAAAAGTGCCAAAAATTTTTGGTTCAAAAATAAATGTGGTGGGGGGCAAAAACGAAAATTTTTCCCAACTTACGCGCAATTCTTTATTTAGCTTTTTTTTTTAAGTTTTTTTTTTTTCCCAAATTTTTTTTTCTTTTCCTCCTAACTTTTGGGGGCCTAAAGAGACCAATACTGATAAAATTAATATATATAAAACTCACTGAATTAAAACCCAAAAACCGCAAAAAGGTTTTTTATCATTTTTTTGTTTACCATTTGTTTTTTTATTACAATAAACATGCCCCAAATCTTGTATAAAACAAAGGGTTCTATAAAAAATTTTTTCATTTTTAACAATCACTGGACAGGGTTTTTTAAAAACTGCGGAGCTTGGGGAAAAACCCTTGAAAAAAGGCACCATGCACAAGGCACCTTACTTTCCCCCCAAAACAAAAAACCGAGGGCCCTTTGCGTCTTTTGTTGCCGTCGTTTTTTTTTGTGCAAGACAGGGCATCTCTTTGAAAAATTTTTCTTCTGATTGAAGGAAGCTGTTTTTAATAAAAATGATCACCTTCCCCCCTAAAAAAACGCTTGGGTAATCCTGAGTAATTCGAGGACCTTTTTGTATGGGCGGGTGTTCTTCCCGGGTTATTCTTTATGATTTGTCTGACAACAGACAAACAAAATTAAACCATACGGGGGGTCTTTTTGAAAGCTTTATTTGGCATATTTTTATGCATTGACCCTGAAATGTCCATGGGGAGGGGAAAAAAAAGTTTCATGTACCACTTTTTAACTTTTAAACCGAACACGGGTCAAAAAAACCCAAAATCTGCATGTCACTTTTTTGTCAACCAAGCGCTTGTTTTGGTATAATCAATCACGTCACGGGTTTTTTCGAAACGTTCATTAGTAAATCGATCAATTTTTTCCCATGCTTGCTTTTTCATTACGGGGGGAATGGTTGTAAACCCTGGGTAGTAGGTTGGTAGACAGCAAGGGCCCAGGGAGGAATCCCCGTTCTGCCCAAGTAAAGGGTAAAAACAAAACCTGAAAATGTTTTACCGAGGGGAAAAGGTTTGGGCTGGTGCCCTTTTTTTTTTCTGTCTCATTCACATGCAAGATTTCGGGTTATGTCTTGCTACTTCTACTTACATTTAGGCCCACATTTACCCCAAACATGTACAAGCATATATATACAAAACCCCTTTGGGTTTTTCTTTCTTTTTTCCCTTTCTGGGTTCTTGTTCTTGTTTTTTTCCCCTTTTTACCTCCAGGGGGGAATGGGAACAAAAATTTTTCCCCCTTTAACCCAATGCTTTGTTGTAAAAAGGGGGACAAAAAGGGGCCGGGAGAAAGGGGTATTTAACCTCTTCTCCGTTTTTTACTAAATGAAAAAGGGGAGAAATTTTCGTTTTTCCTTTTGGGCCCAAACCCCCCCTTTTTTGGAAAAACAGCCGGTTTTTTAAAGAAAAGAAAAAAATGGTTGTCAAAAAATGTGACATATCTTTTGGTCTTGCCCCCGTAATGCCATGATGTCATTGGCAAGTAAAACCTGCCTAAATACCACGAGCACCTGGTTGATGGGATATGTTTCAAATTTAGAACCACTGTGCCCCCTCATCGTTTCCTTGTTCATTTCGCTTGAAATCACGATTAATGGGCTTGTGTACCATTTATCGGAATTTAATGTATCCCCCTTTTACCAAGATAATGTACATAAATTTTCTCCTAGGGTCACCTGGGGATACCCCGAACATCTTGGGAAATTTTTTCAATGTTTTATTTTCCCGTTTAAAAACAATATCCAACACCGGGGGCCCGTCACAGTCAAAGTAAAACAGTTTTATCCAAAGGCGTTTCCCTTGCCGGTAAAATACGCTTAAATTTGCCCAGCCCAAAACCTTTGAAAAAAAATCAAAGACTCGCCCAATTGAAAAACTTTCTTGAATGGAAAAAAAGAATATCCCTTGAACTTTTGTTTGAATACATAAAAACTTTTTTTAATCTTGTTAACCTGTCACTTCTGTCACCGGGTTTTTGGGCAGAAAAAGGCCCCCAAAAAAAAGTAAGAGTAAGAAAAACCCTGTTCACGGTATGTTTTTTCAATGAAGCCCGGGGGTTTAAAAATTTAGCCGATTTTGTAAAACCAGTATGTTTTAAAAATTTAAATGCTTATAGACATGGGGGTTTAAGCATTATTGTTGAAAAAAAAAACCCCAAAAACTTTTCTGCAACAGTTTCTTTTTCCCACCGTTTTCCCTTAAAACTGGGTGTATGACATTTTTTCCCTTGGTGTACCCCAAAATATTTTTACTTTCCCTGACAATTTTTTCCCATAAAAGGCTGGGTAAAAGAAAAATTTAAAAAAAACCCCATTTCTTTGGGCCTTTTTTCCAAGGGGGAAAGTGGGGAAGAATTCCACTTTGAGAGTCACAAAGGGGTTGGAGGTTTTGGGAACAAAATTGGGTTTTTGTCCCAAATCCCCCCATATGGTTTTTGTGGGGGAAATTGGGACACATGGTTTGGTTGTGCGGGGGGTTGGGGGTTGTGGTGGGCTGGTGGCGGGCCCCACCCCGCTTTGCCCTTGAACTGAAGTCGCAGCGTGGGTCCCACGTGGGCTGGTGAGTAAAGCATGGCGGGTCACTGCCATCCCCAATACCCCCAAATCCTATCCCTGTGGGCCCCTACCCCTCCCAAGTGTACCCAACACATCCCCCATACCCATTTCCCTAAAAGGGTTGTAGGGCCAGGGGATGTACCCCGGGGATGTACAGTGGACCCCGGGGTTAACGATTTTAATCCGGGCAAGGGGGCTCAAAATTCGTTAGGGGCGAAAAAAATGGTTAATGGCGAAAATTAAAAAAAATTTTTTCCCAAAAAAATTTAATTTTTAAAAAAAAAAATACAAATTAATCCTTTTTGGGGCCCGGTTAAAGTTAAGGGGAAAAAATTTTTTTTTAAAAAAAAAGGGGAATTTTAATTCCAAAAATTTTAAAAAGGGGCTGCAACCTTTTTGGGGACCCCCTTCTTTTTAAACCCATAAAAAAGAAAAAATGTTGAATAAATAAAGGGGGGAGGGCAAATCTTTCCTTTTTAAAAAGGGGAACCCCCCAAATTTTAACTTAAAAAAACAACCCTTTTTAAATTTCCTTTCTTATTCTTTTATGGACTTCGAAATTTAATTAAAATTTGGAACCTCTTCCCCATTTAAAAAAAACCCGTCCTTTTAAAACCTCTTCCCTTTCCCTTTAAAATTTCCAATTAACCAAACCCCCATGTAAAATTGAAAAATAAAGTCCCCAAGCAGGGTTTGGGCAAAAAGCTGTGTCAGGGTGTTTTTCCCATTATAAAGGGTTTGCAGTTCAACCCCTGTGCCACATTTCCCTTAATCTTTGAATTAGGCACAATGGGTTTTCCACAAGGAAAAGGGCTTCTCAGGGTTAGCCCCAAACCCTTTAAAAAATTCTTTCTTAATTTCCAAAACCTAATTTCTCACCCTTTTACCACCCGGGTTTGGGCACTATAAGCTTTTTTGGGGCCCATGGTAAAACTTTTTTTTCCCAAAAAGAAAAGAAACCAAAAACCCCAACTGAAATTAAAAACGAAAAAAAAATTCCCGGTGTATCCCTTGGATTTTAACCGCGGGGGTTTGGCGGGTAAAATTTGGGAAACGGCCGGGCCCACATTTGGAGGGACTTGGGAAAGGTTGGGAGGGAAAAATGGGGAAAAGGGGTTTTTTTTAATGGGGAAAGCGCGGAAAAAAATTTTGCGAAAAAAGTAATGGGTATGGGGAAAAAAAATCGGTATTTTGATGCCTCTTTTATGCGGTGGGTCCCCCGGGTTAATTCTGTACCCCTGGGCTCAGCATGGGGTACATTTTCCCACGAGCGCAGCGGCGGCGAACTTTAACCGACGCTTCATGGGGAATTTTGGTTTCCCCTCACTTTCATTTCCTCAAATTAAATCGTCGAGGGGCAAAAAAATTCACAATCCACATACTATCATCATCTTTACTGAAGCAGAGGCCTCCCACGCAAAATTTGTTTTCTCTTGCGTTCGGAAAAACCCGAGGGTGAGTCACGAGTGCCCACACCAGGGGTAAAAGGTTGGGAGGGGATCGTCGGGGTTTTTTCTGCATTTTAAACGATATCCTGGTCATTTTTTTTCGGCCCACAAAACTGATCAAAGCCGTAGAATTCGTTTTCCCTTTTCCCATTTTCCATAAAGGTCAAAAAAACCGTGGAAGGGGAGTCCCCAATTTTCCGGGGGTGAGACCCGACTTGCGACAAAGGGCATGGTAAACCAAGGGTAACTGACCGGCGTTCCCACAATGCTATGGGGGCCCCGCCTAGTTTTTTTGTTTTTTTGGCGCACCCCACCCGCAAAACCCTTCCCTTCAAAAGGGTGGGCCCCCTATGAAGGTTTTCCCGTCCCTAAATTTAAAGGAACAAAAATTTTTGGGCCCGTAGTTTCAAGGGTTTTTCCCCCACTCAACGTGAACCAAAAATCAAAGGGGAGGGGCCCCTAAAAAGGGTTAAATGAATTTTGGAAAATTTTTTTTTTTCTTTGTTTTTTTTGGGAAAAGAATGTCTTTAAACATAATGAAAGAATGTCCCCAGTTTGTAAAATGCCCCCAGCCTCGAAAGTATAGCCCTTGCATTTCCCCCCAAAACCTTTTTCTCTCCTGTGCACTGGCTTTACCCCCTTGCTTTAAAACCTTTTTTTCTGTCTTTTAAGGTTTGGGTCTATGTTTTGAAGCAAGCATTGGTTTTGTAGATCCATTTTTTGGGGCTTAACTCCCTCGGAAAACTGTGAGAATTTAATTTTGGGGGGGGGAAATGGGAGGAAGGGGGGCAATGCAAAAAGAGTGCATGGTTTTAAAAAACATGTCCCTCCCCTATGCATGATGGGGAAAAAAAAATCCCCGAACTTGTGTTTTAGTTTTAAAAAAAGGATGAAGCTTTTAAATAGGAAAGCTTTTGGTTTTGGGGCCTGTTTCTTTGGGATCATTTCATAGGAAAGGAAAAATGTTAAAATTTCTGAAAATAAGGGTATTTTGGTTGGGGTTTGAAATGAAATAGCTTGAAATCTAACTGAAAATTTCCCCTAAATATTGATTTTTAATAATTTTCCCCGGTGAGGGGGAAGTTTTTTCCCCCCCTCAGTCTGTTTTTTTGGGCTCTTACTAGGTTTTTTGGTTATTGGGGAAAGCCCTAAAACCCTGACCAAAACAATTTTCCCTTTTGATATTTTTTTTTTGGGGAAAAAAGGGTAATTTTTTTTTATGTAATGAATTCAAAATGGAGGGTAAGTAAAATATAGGAGAAGTTGCTTTAGTGGCTGGAATGCCTACAGCGTTTATTCAGGATTTTTCTTTAATTTTATGTAAAATTGCCATTTTATTGTGCACTTTATAGGGTATGTAATTCTGATAGTTGAATGGGCGATTTCTTTTGCTATTTGATAGAATGTAAGGCATACTAGCAAACTACCTAAGAATTTGGTTGAGTTGAGAAATTGAATTGGCTTAAAATTGGTCTCAAAGCGGGTGCATAAAGTGTTCCCAGACCGCCAACTTTGCAACTACAGTGGAACCCCAGATATTGGTTGATGCTGATATCGGCCAAATTGGATTCTGGCCACTTTTTTGGCCAAAATTCTGTCCTGGATTTCAGCCGACAACTCAGAAATCGGCCGTATTGGATGCGTTCGTCCACTAATCTGCTGCGTTCGTGAGTCAGTCTGGCTGTGTCTTTGGGCGAGTGAGCAACATTCCACGCATTCATCCAAGCATTTCGTTATAATCCATTGTTTTTTGTAGTTGCTTATTGAGTGTGACTGTGAAATAAGCCACCATGGGCCCAAAGAAACACGTTACATAGTATATAAAAACATGCAATGTTTACATGCGATGTATGTTTAATAATAATCACTCTTGGACACATTAAATGTCATATTTTAGTTAATATAGTCATTTTCATTAATCCATCTATATTTCCTTCAATATTATACAAGAAACACGTTACATAGCTATTGAGTGGTGAGTCGGGTGGAGAGTAAACATTACGTTTTCTCTGATCAGCCTTAGAGAAAACTGTGAATCTGGTGTCTGGCCCAGTCACCGCCCTTCATGTGCGTTTGTTTATAATTCTTGGCATGAATTCTTCATTGCTTCTCCCTTTGTTTATGATGGGATCTAAAGGTAGTTGTTAGAAATGATTAAACTCAGTGAACATGGTAATAATATGGCTGATAAATTTGACACGTGCAACTCTTGGGTATCTTTATTGAGGAAACGTTTCGCCACACAGTGGCTTCATCAGTCCATACGTAGGAGAAACTTGAAGAACAGGAGGAGAATGAGGTAATCAGTCCCTCAACCTTGAGTCGATGTGTTCAGTCCATCAATCTTGAATAGAATACGGCATATCAGTGGAGAAGCAGCTTATAAACCGTATGGCAGGAGAGGTGCAGCAGTCATAGGTCGTATCACATTTGTTCAATGTGGAAGTAGGTCGTGCCCAAGAATTAGGCAAGCGAAGAATTCCTAAGTATTAAGATCCCAAGAAGTGTGGCGAAACGTTTCCTCAATAAAGATACCCAAGAGTTGCACATGTGTCAAATTTATCAACATGTCGGTTCTCTGAACCATTCATCTACAAATCTGTCAGACACTGCAACTTCTTGGGATCTTAATACTTAGGAATTCTTCGCTTGCCTAATTCTTGGGCACGACCTACTTCCACATTGAACAAATGTGATACGACCTATGACTGCTGCACCTCTCCTGCCATACGGTTTATAAGCTGCTTCTCCGCTGATATGCCGTATTCTATTCAAGATTGATGGACTGAACACATCGACTCAAGGTTGAGGGACTGATTACCTCATTCTCCTCCTGTTCTTCAAGTTTCTCCTACGTATGGACTGATGAAGCCACTGTGTGGCGAAACGTTTCCTCAATAAAGATACCCAAGAGTTGCACATGTGTCAAATTTATCAACATGTCGGTTCTCTGAACCATTCATCTACAAATAATATGGCTGTATAATGTAATGATATGGCTGTGTACTGTAGCCCAGGGGGGCTACATACTTATACCTACATTTACTGCTGCCTACGCTGACTTCCTACAAATAAATACTACTCTCCTCTCACCCTACATTAAGACTACAAATATTTTAAGGCAAGTAATGAATGTACTGTGGCAGTAAATGACAAAAAAGAGAAGTAACCCTAGAGAGGGTTTTGATACCTGAAGTCCTTATGGACGGGGATTCCCAACTCTCTCTCCCCTCCTCGCCTTCTTCAATAAAGGTACGTAATGTTCATTTATCATTAAAATTTGTGCTTTATATTTATTTATCATTGCTTTCTGTTTATAATACTATAGTTAATCTTTAAAAAATGTATTTTTTGTTAATATTTTTGGGTGTCTAGAATGGATTAATTGTATTTACACTAATTCTTATTGGAAATATTACTTAGGTTTTCGGCCTTTTCGGATTTAGGCAGTTCTCCTGGAACGGATTACGGCCAATAACTGGGGTTCCACTGTACCTAATTCTATGAGTTTCCATCTAATTTAGTATTTTGTGTGTCATTACCTTCAGAAAAATATTTTCTAGCATTTCAGATTTTTTTTAAATTGTGACACTGTCAACACTTAATTTTGGGGGTCCCAACAGTGAAGGAATCAATTATTCATAGGTGTATTAATTTAAGCACCCCCTTTCCCATCCACTCACCTGTAAGACATTACTGTACTGATAATTTTGTCTTCTCCAGTTTGAAATGGAAATTATCAAGGTACATGAAGCACATGAGGCTCTAGTGAAGTCATCTGAGAGAAGGGAGCAACTTGAGCGGCTAGCGCGCCACAAACTACATGCTGAGGTCAAGCGACTCACTGAGCTTAATGCAGATCTAAAGGATCAGGTTGATGTTCTCTCTACCCAAATTTCTAATCGTCCCTTGCCTACTGATAGCACCGATGCCCTTCGTAAGGAATTAAATAAACGGGACGTCTTCATTGCTCAGCTGGTTTCACACAGTAAGTTCACATTGTACTATTTCGTGTCTGTCAATTGTGTGTCTGTTCGTGGCTTCATATATCATTAGCAGTCTTCAAATGCATGATGCAACTGACCCTCAGTGTAAGTTATTTCTAAAATTTATATAAATTTATTTATTTTTTTTTTTCAACAAGTCGGCCGTCTCCCACCGAGGCAGGGTTACCCAAAAAAGAAAGAAAATCCCCAAAAAGAAAATACTTTCATCATCATTCAACACTTTCACCACACTCGCACATTATCACTGTTTTTGCAGAGGTGCTCAGAATACAACAGTTTAGAAGCATACACATATAAAGATACACAACATATCCCTCCAAACTGCCAATATCCCAAACCCCTCCTTTAAAGTGCAGGCATTGTACTTCCCATTTCCAGGACTCAAGTCCGACTATATGAAAATAACCGGTTTCCCTGAATCCCTTCACTAAATATTACCCTGCTCACACTCCAACAGATCGTCAGGTCCCAAGTACCATTCGTCTCCACTCACTCCTATCTAACATGCTCAAGCACGCTTGCTGGAAGTCCAAGCCCCTTGCCCACAAAACCTCCTTTACCCCCTCTCTCCAACCCTTTCGAGGACGACCCCTACCCCGCCTTCCTTCCCCTATAGATTTATATGCTTTCCATGTCATTCTACTTTGATCCATTCTCTCTAAATGACCAAACCACCTCAACAACCCCTCTTCTGCCCTCTGACTAATACTTTTATTAACTCCACACCTTTTCCTAATTTCCACACTCCGAATTTTCTGCATAATATTTACGCCACACGTTGCCCTTAAACAGGACATCTCCACTGCCTCCAACCGTCTCCTCGCTGCTGCATTTACCACCCAAGCTTCACACCCATATAAGAGTGTTGGTACTACTATACTTTCATACATTCCCTTCTTTGCCTCCATAGATAAAGTTTTTTGATTCCACATATACCTCAACGCACCACTCACCTTTTTTCCCTCATCAGTTCTATGATTAACCTCATCCTTCATAAATCCATCCGCCGACACGTCAACTCCCAAGTATCTGAAAACATTCACTTCTTCCATACTCCTCCCCAATTTGATATCCAATTTTTCTTTATCTAAATCATTTGACACCCTCATCACCTTACTCTTTTCTATGTTCACTTTCAACTTTCTACCTTTACACACATTCCCAAACTCATCCACTAACCTTTGCAATTTTTCTTTAGAATATCCCATAAGCACAGTATCATCAGCAAAAAGTAACTGTGTCAATTCCCATTTTGAATTTGATTCCCCAAAATTTAATCCCACCCCTCTCCCGAACACCCTAGCATTTACTTCCTTTACAACCCCATCTGTAAATATATTAAACAACCACGGTGACATTACACATCCCTGTCTAAGACCTACTTTTACCGGGAAGTAGTCTTCCTCTCTTGTACACACCCTAACCTGAGCCTCACTATCCTCATGAAAACTCTTTACAGCATTTAATAACTTACCACATATTCCATGTACTTGCAACATCTGCCACATTGCTCCTCTATCCACTCTATCATATGCCTTTTCTAAATCCATAAATGCAATAAAAACTTCCCTACCTTTATCTAAATACTGTTCACATATATGCTTCAATGTAAACACTTGATCTACACATCCCCTACCCACTCTGAAACCTCCTTGCTCATCCGCAATCCTACATTCTGTCTTGCCTCTAATTCTTTCATTTATAACCCTACCGTACACTTTTCCTGGTATACTCAGTAAACTTATTCCTCTATAATTTTTACAGTCTTTTTTGTCCCCTTTCCCTTTATGTAAAGGGACTATACATGCTCTCCGCCAATCCCTAGGTACCTTCCCCTCTTTCATACATTTATTAAACAAAAGTACCAACCACTCCAACACTATATCCCCCCCCTGCTTTTAACATTTCTGTCATGATCCCAACAGTTCCAGCTGCTTTACCCCCTTTCATTTTACGTAATGCCTCACGTACCTCCCCCATACTTACATTCTGCTCTTCTTCACTCCTAAAAGATGGTATACCTCCCTGACCAGTGCATGAAATTACTGCCTCTGTTTCTTCCTTAACATTTAAAAGTTCCTCAAAATATTCTCGCCATCTACCTAATACCTCCTCCCCATCTACTAACTCCCCTACTCTGTTTTTAACTGACAAATCCATACTTTCCCTAGGCTTTCTTAACTTGTTTAACTCGCTCCAAAATTTTTTCTTATTTTCATTAAAATTTCTTGACAGTGCCTCTCCCACTCTATCATCTGCTCTCATTTTGCACTCTCTCAGCACTCTCTTTACCTTTCTTTTACTCTCCATATACTCTGCTCTTCTTATAACACTTCTGCTTTGTAAAAACCTCTCATAAGCTACCTTTTTCTCTTTTATCACACCCTTTACTTCATCATTCCACCAATCACTCCTCTTTCCTCCTGCCCCCACCCTCCTATTTTTTTGTTTATCTTACATTATTGAAGAATTTAACACAAGTTACTTTGTATATTTAGTACATATTTTTTTATTACATCTTGCAGATAAAGAACTAATTGCTGCTAAAGAACGACAAGAAATTGAACTAACTGCCCAGAGACAGACCCTCAACGAACAACGAACACACATAGATATCTTGGATTCTGCCCTAACTAATGCTCAGGCTAACGTTGTAAAACTGGAAGAGGAGGTAAGGAATACATGCACCAATGAGCATAGTAAAAAAAGAAAACTTGTACTTTATTTTAAATTTGGGGTCTGGAGGTGGGAAGTTACAGTAAAGTTGAATAGGGAGTTTGCAGTTTTGAAGGTCATTTTAATTGTTATGTCAACATAATTCTTGCAAGACAGCTAGTGAATGAATGATGGTGAATGTGTTCGCTTATGTGAAACACCCAACCTTGTTAGAGATGTCTGATGTATAGTAACTAGGAAAAGGTGTGGAGTTAAAAAAAAGTATTAGTCAGAGGGCTGAAGAGGGGTTGTTGAGGTGGTTTGTTCATTTAGAGAGAATGGATCAAAGTAGAATGACATGGAGAGCGTATAAATTCGTAGGGGAAGGAAGGAGGGGTAGGGGTCATCCTCGAAAAGGTTGGAGGGAGGGGGTAAAGGAGGTTTTTGGGGTTTGAGGGGTTTGAACTTCGAAAGGGCATGCGTGAGCGTGTTGATGGATAAAGGGAAACAATGGTATTTGGGGGACCTGCAAGCTTTTGGAGTGTGTCAGGGTATTTTTGGGAAGGGATTGGGGAAAACCGGTTTTTTTTAATAGTAGGACTTGATACTGGAAAGTCAAGTACAGTGCCTGCACTTTAAAGGAGGGGTTGGGTTTTGGCATTTTGGGGGGAATGTTGTAATCTTTATACGTAGGGCTTCTAAATGGTGTGTTCGGGGTACCCTGCAAAAACAGTGATTATGTATGAGTGAGGGAAAAAGTGTTGAATGATGCAAAAAGTATTTTCTTTGTGGGGATTTTTTTTCTTTTTGGAGTTTTTTTTTTCTTTTTGGGTCACCCTGCCTGGGTGGGAGACGGCCGACTTGTTAAAAAAAAAAAAATTTATATATACATGTGTATGTATACGCCTCCTGGGTTTTGGGGTTTGGGCAGACACAACCCCCCAGGGGGGTCTACCGCCCTCCCAAGTGAGGTAAAACGAAAGCCGAAAATTGTTTTACATGATGGTGGATTGCGGGGTGTCCTTTTTTTCTGTCTCACAAACAGCGGTTTAGGTCGCTTGTACTTCTACGTACATTAGGTCACACGACACATACAGTACAAACATATACGTATATTACACCCCGCGGGGTTTTCTTCTTTTTTCTTATAGTTCTTGTTTTGTTTATTTCCTTTACCCCATGGGGAAGTGGAACAGAATTCTTCCCGTAGGCCTGCTTTTTTGTAAGAGGCCAAAAATCCAGGAGAAAGGGGCTAGAAAACCCCTTCTCCCTGTAATATTATAAAGTAAAAGGATAAGCTTTTGTTTTTTCTTTTGGGATACGGCGGTGTTTTTGAAAGAAAGAAAGGTATACAGCCTGTCTGCCTCCCCTCACTTACCCACGTACGCCGTTTCCAACGATTGGCCGGGAGGGGCCTCTGCCCAGTATCCCATACCAAAATAATGTATATTAGAGGCAATTTGTTCTATACTTTTTTTACAATTAATACATGCTTTTTAAAACCCATTTAAAAATATGCCAAAAATTAAAAATGGTCAAAGGGACATTAAAACAATATCAGAGAGGGTTACAAAAACCCCACTGCCATTATATTTCCCCCTATTTTGAGAATTGTTTACCAACAGGGGTCTTAGGAACGGAATCTGTTGTTAAGTAGGAGAGGCTGAGTTAACCTTTTCAGGGTCCACAGGCCAAATTTCAAAGTGTGCACCAGGTTCCAAAATTTTCAAAAAAATATTTTTTTTTTTTTTTATAAATGGTGGAATCTTTTTTAAAGGTAATAAAAAAAAAGTAGATTTTGATGGAAAACTACAAAATTACGCTCACAGAATTTTGTGTTCAGCGATTTTTACGAATAGGCGTTTTTGCCGATTTTGACCCCCATTTTGGGCCCAAAATTACATTTTTCCCCTCGCCCAAATTTTAGCTATTTCCTATATTACTTTGTTCTATCGAGGGGGAGCACAAAAATTGCCCAGTCAACTGTTTAAACTGAAAATAAAGTGATTGGAAATTGGTAATTTGGCCAATTTAACACAAATTTTCAAATATTCCAATTTCAAATGGGGGTCCAGAAAAACAATGCAGGCTTCCCTGGCACTAAACTAACATTTCCTCTTTCATTGTTATGTTTTCAGATTTTACAAATGTATTGCATTTTTATTTTTTTTCACATAATAAACTTTTATTCAAACCAAAACAATAAAAAAATTACTGTTATGCAATTTGTAATAATTGTATAAATTCATACCAATTTTGAAGTATTTGGACCCCCCAGCTGGGGTTTTTTTTGATGTGTGAGGTCGTTTGTTTATCTTGAACAGGGGGAAAAAAATTTAACTTTTCTGTAATTTGAGCTCATTTTTTAAAGCCATTTCCACTTTTAAAAACCAATCAAAATCATCTCGTTTCTGAAACATTCCCATTTATAAATGAACCAAGAAATCGCAAATCAACTATAAAAAACACACAAAAAAACACTGCAAAAGTCGCTGTTTTAATCGAAAAAATGGTTCAGTTTTTTTTTTTCAAAAAACCCGTGGCTGCAGGTTTGTTTTATGTAGTGCACCATACCACATAGATGTATTCTCTCAATCTAGGCCCCCAAAATTTTCCCCTCACGCATAGAGTGGGGTGAGCCATGGGGTACTTACGGGTTTGGGCCCTCCGAAAGCCGTAGATTATGGGACGGACCCCGAACGGGGGTTTGTGAATGAATTGGAGAGAGTATAAATTGTAGTGGGAAGAAGACGGGAGGGGTCGTCCTAGGAAAAATTGGAGGGAGGGGGGGGAAAGATGGTTTTGTGTGCGGGGGCCGGACTTTCAGGAAATATGCGTGAGCATGTTTGGAGTGAGTGGGGACGATTGGTTTTATAACTTGACGTCTGTTGGAGTGGGGGAAAAGTAAATTTCTGAAGGGATTTAGAGAATGGCAAAAAAAAAAAAAAAACCCAAAGGGGGAAAAAAAAAAAAAAAACATGGGAAAAAGATAAATTAAAAAATTTAAGGAAAAAAAAAAAAAAAATATTTTTTGTTTTAAGAAGTATATTTATTTTTTTTTAGCTGCGGAAACAGAAATTGGTGAAAAGGCAGGGGAATTTAAAAATCTTAATTTTCCAAAATTTAAATGCGAAAAAGAAAGTCAGGAAGAATTCTTCCCCACAGCTGGAAAAGGGAAAAATAGAACAACTACTCTGGTTTGAAAAAGGTCACTGGAGCCCCCTTAAATTTTTTTCTTACTTTTTACTTATTTACTTTCTAAACATTGCCAACAGGTGCACATTTATACTGGTAGCTTGTGATCCCTTTAAAAAAAATCATTGTGAAATTTATTTCCTGTGGGGAAATTTTTCCATGGTCAATTACTACAATATTTTTGGAGTAAATTTATGGTATTAATTTACTTGAAAATGAGAATTATTTTAATATCCATGTTAATAATGAATGATGAAAGTTATCCCTAAAATTTGAAATTGCTTTTTATAGGATTAGTAAAAGCTTTTTTCCCTTTTTACCCCCAAATAGTGGCTTTGAAAAAAAGGGGTAGTTGGGGATTAGTTTTTTTTTGTTTTTTTAAACATGTGGCCCTCTCCCCCAAGGCGGGGACCCAAAAAGAAAAACTTCACCCGCTTCACACATAATCACTGTCTTTTCAGAGGTGCAGATATCCCAAACCCCCCCTTTAAAATGTAAGCATTGTACTTTCCACATCCCGGACTCAAGTCTGGCAAGCGGGTTTTCCCTTTAATCCCTTCACAAATTTTATCCTTCTACACCCACCAGTTTCAAGTCCCAAAACCCTTCAACTCCATCTTATCTAAAATCTCACAAGCCTGCGTAGCCAAACCCCCCTTTCACACAAAACTTTTTTTTTTTACCCCTTTCCTCCATCCTTTCCTTGGACAACCCCTACTCCTCCTTCCCTCCATGTCATCCTGGTTTGCTCCATCCTCTCTAAATGAAAAAACCCCCTCAACAACCCCCCCTGGGGAAAATGGAATAAAAATCTTTTCCTCCGAAAGCTATGCATGTTGTAATAGGCAGTTAAAATGCCAGAGCATTGGGCTAGTAACCCTTTCTCCCATATAACTTACTAAAAATAAAACCTTTAAGTTGGACTTAGATCTTTCTGTTAAATCCATGAATCTGCATAGTATGATTATAAAAACTGTATTGTACCCTAAAAATTTTTAAGAAAATTATGAGAGTTTTTGCATTGTGCCTATGAAAAGTTGTGGTATTTATCATCTTTCCAAAATCTTGAAGAGTATACAAATGTAGCATCATCAGGGGTAGAAGAAAATGAGTAAACTGGAAAAAAATATTTAAAAATTTGCTGAATCATTTTGGAATGTGAAGGAAATTGATTATCGCAGAAACCTGAGGAAACTGTCTCATGGCTTTTTAAATAATGAGTGTCATGTGTTTCATAGTTGTTCTTTAAAGCCTCTCCCTAATCAGTTGCTGGCGTATGATGTACAGCTGCATTAGTTGTTAATTAAAGATTTCCTTCAAACTGTATAATTTTAATATTATGTATCGGTGGATGAAAGGTTGATGGGTAGACTCCAGGATGTATACATTTATAGAGGGGCAACTGATATATCGGATCATTATTTAGTTGTAGCTATGAAGGATGAGGTTAATCATAGAATTGATGAGGGAAAAAAGGGGATGGTCGTTGAGGATAGGGATCAAAAAAAAAGTTATCTATGGAGGCAAAGAAGGGAATGTATGAAAGTATAGTAGTACCAACACTCTTATATGGGTGTGAAGCTTGGGTGGTAAATGCAGCAGCGAGGAGACGGTTGGAGGCAGTGGAGATGTCCTGTTTAAGGGCAATGTGTGGTGTAAATATTATGCAGAAAATTCGGAGTGTGGAAATTAGGAGGTGTGGAGTTAATAAAAGTATTAGTCAGAGGGCAGAAGAGGGGTTGTTGAGGTGGTTTCGTCATTTAGAGAGAATGGATCAAAGTAGAATGACATGGAAAGCATATAAATCTATAGGGGAAGGAAGGCGGGGTAGGGGTCGTCCTCGAAAGGGTTGGAGAGAGGGGGTAAAGGAGGTTTTGTGGGCAAGGGGCTTGGACTTCCAGCAAGCGTGCGTGAGCGTGTTAGATAGGAGTGAATGGAGACGAATGGTACTTGGGACCTGACGATCTGTTGGAGTGTGAGCAGGGTAATATTTAGTGAAGGGATTCAGGGAAACCGGTTATTTTCATATAGTCGGACTTGAGTCCTGGAAATGGGAAGTACAATGCCTGCACTTTAAAGGAGGGGTTTGGGATATTGGCAGTTTGGAGGGATATGTTGTGTATCTTTATATGTGTATGCTTCTAGACTGTTGTATTCTGAGCACCTCTGCAAAAACAGTGATAATGTGCGAGTGTGGTGAAAGTGTTGAATGATGATGAAAGTATTTTCTTTTTGGGGATTTTCTTTCTTTTTTGGGTCACCCTGCCTCGGTGGGAGACGGCCGACTTGTTGAAAAAAAAAAAAAAAAACCTACAGTGACAGTAAGAGGTAGATGGGAAAAGAGGAAAATGGCAACAAAAGTATAAACTAAGGGAGGAGGAAGTTCGGGTGAGATATAAGCAACCATGGGCAGAAAGGTGGGCTGGTCCAAGTATGAGTAGTGGGAAGGTTGAAGAGGGTTGGAATAGTTTTAAAAATGCAGTATTAGAATGCAGGGCAGAATTTTGTGGTTATAGGAGGGTGGGTGCAGGAGGAAAGAGGAGTGATCGGTGGAATGATGAAGTAAAGGGTGTGATAAAAGAAGTGTTATAAGAGGAGTAGAGTATATGGAGAGTAAAAGAAAAGTGAAGAGAGCGGTGAGAGAGTGCAAAATGAGAGCAGATGATAGAGTGGGAGAGGCACTGTCAAGAAATTTTAACAAAAATAAGAAAAAGTTTTGGAGTGAGTTAAACAAGTTAAGAAAACCTAGGGATTGAATGGATTTGTCAGTTAAAAACAGAGTAGGGGAGTTAGTAGAGGGAGAGATGGAGTACTGGGTAGATGGCAAGAATATTTTGAGGAACTTTTAAATGTCGACGACGAAAGGAAGGTGGTAATTTCATACACTGGCCAGGGAGGTATACCATCTTTTAGGAGTGAAGAAGAGCAGGATGCAAGTGTGGGGGAGGTGCGTGAGGCATTACATAGAATGAAAAGGGGAAAAGCAGCTGGAACTGACGGGATCATGACAGAAATGTTAAAAGCAGGGGGGGGGGGGGACATAGTGTTGGAGTGGTTGGTATTTTTTGTTTAATAAATGTATGAAAGAGGGGAAGGTACCTAGGGATTGGCGGAGAGCATGTATAGTCCCATTATATAAAGGGAAAGGGGATAAAAGAGATTAAATTTTTTTTTTTTTTTTTTAACAAGTCGGCCGTCTCCCACCGAGGCAGGGTGACCCAAAAAGAAAGAAAATCCCCAAAAAGAAAATACTTTCATCATCATTCAACACTCACCTCACTCACACATAATCACTGTTTTTGCAGAGGTGCCCAGAACACAACAGTTTAGAAGTATATACGTATAAAAATACACAATATATCCCTCCAAACTGCCAATATCCCAAACCTCTCCTTTAGAGTGCAGGCATTGTACTTCCCATTTCCGGGACTCAAGTCTGGTTATATAAAATAACCGGTTTCCCTGAATCCCTTCACTAAATATTACCCTGCTCACACTCCAACAGCTCGTCGGGTCCCAAATACCATTTGTCTCCATTCACTCCTATCTAATGCACTCACGCACGCTTGCTGGAAGTCCAAACCCCTCTCCTACAACACCTCCTTTACCCCCCTTCCTCCAACCTTTTCGAGGACGACCCCTACCCTGCCTTCCTTCCCCTACAGATTTATACGCTCTCCATGTCATTCTACTTTGATCCATTCTCTCTAAATAACTAAACCACCTCAACAAACCCTCTTCAGCCCTCTGACTGATACTTTTATTAACTCCACACCTCCTAAATTATCGTACTTATTCTTTTTAGTAAATGTTATGGGAAAAGGGGTTACTAGCCCATTGTTCCCTGCATTTTAATTGACTTTTACAACCCGCATGGCTTACGTAGGAAAGATTCTTATTCCACTTCCCCATGGATATAAAAGGAAAAGTAATTAGAAAAAGAACTAAGATAAAATCAAAGAAAACTCAAATGTGTGTGTATAAATAAACGTGTACATGTATGTTTAGTGTGACCTAAGTGTAAGTAGAAGTAGCAAGTTTACTGAGTATACCAGGAAAAGTGTACGGTAGGGTTATTATTGAAAGAATTAGAGGTAAGACAGAATGTAGAATTGCGGATGAGGAAGGTGGTTTTAGAGTGGGTAGGGGATGTGTAGATCAAATGTTTACATTGAAGCATATATGTGAACAGTATTTAGATAAAGGTAGGAAAGTTTTTATTGCATTTATGGATTTAGAAAAGGCATATGATAGAGTGGATAGGGAAGCAGTGTGGCAGATGTTGCAAGTATATGGAATAGGTGGTAAGTTACTAAATGCTGTAAAGAGTTTTTATGAGGATAGTGAGGCTCAGGTTAGGGTGTGTAGAAGAGAGGGAGACTACTTCCCGGTAAAAGTAGGTCTTAGACAGGGATGTGTAATGTAGGTTGGTAGACAGCAACCGCCCAGGGAGGTACTACCGTTCTGCCAAGTGAGTGTGAAACAAAAGCCTGTAATTGTTTTACATGATGGTAGGATTGCTGGTGTCTTTTGTCTGTCTCATAAACATGCAAGATTTCAGGTACGTTTTGCTACTTCTACTTACACTTAGGTCACACTACACATACATGTGCAAGCATATATATATACACACCCCTCTGGGTTTTCTGCTATTTTCTTTCTAGTTCTTGTTCTTGTTTATTTCCTCTTATCTCCATGGGGAAGTGGAACAGAATTCTTCCTCCGTAAGCCATGCGTGTCGTAAGAGGCGACTGAAATGCCGGGAGCAAGGGGCTGGTAACCCCTTCTCCTGTATATATTACTAAATTTGAAAGGAGAAACTTTCATTTTTCCTTATGGGTAACCCCACCTCGGTGGGATACAGCCAGTGTGTTGAAAGAAGAAAGTTGGGGTTGTAAAAGAATTAAATGCTAGGGTGTTCGGGAGAGGGGTGGGATTAAATTATGGGAAATTAAATACAAAATGGGAAGTGACACAGTTACTTTTTGCTGATGATACTGTGCTTATGGGAGATTCTAAAAAAAAATTGCAAAGGTTAGTGGTTGAATTTGGGAGTGTGTGTAAAGGTAGAAAGTTGAAAGTGAACATAGAAAAGAGTAAGGTGATGAGAGTATCAAATGATTTAGATAAAGAAAAATTGGATATCAAATTGGGGAGGAGGAGTATGGAAGAAGTGAATGTTTTCAGATATTTGGGAGTTGACATGTCAGCAGATGGATTTATGAAGGATGAGGTTAATCACAGAATTGATGAAGGAAAAAAGGTGAGTGGTGCGTTGAGGTATATGTGGAGACAAAAAAACGTTATCTATGGAGGCAAAGAAGGGAATGTATGAAAGTATAGTAGTACCAACACTCTTATATTGGCGAGAAGCTTGGGTTGTAAATGCTGCAGCGAGGAAGCTATTGGAGGCAGTGGAGATGTCCTGTCTAAGGGCAATGTGTGTTGTAAATATTATTCAGAAAATTTGGAGTGTGGAAATTAGGAGAAGGTGTGGAGTTAATAAAAGTATTAGAGGGCTGAAGAGGGTTTGTTGAGGTGGTTTGGTCATTTAGAGAGAATGGATCAAAGTAGAATGACTTAAGGGGTAGGGGTCTTCCTCGAAAAGGTTGGAGGGAGGGGGTAAAGGTGGTGTTGTGGACGAGGGGTTTGGACTTCCAGGAAGCGTACGTGAGTGTGTTAGATAGGAGTGAATAGAGACAAATGGTATTTGGGACCTGATGAGCTGTTGAGTGTGAGCAGGGTAATATTTAGTGAAGGGATTCAGGAAAACTGGTTATTTTATATAACTGGATTTGAGTCCTGGAAATATGAAGTACAATGCCTGCACTCTAAAGGAGGGGTTTGGGATATTGTCAGTTTGGAGGGATATATTGTGTATTTTTATACATATACATATACTTCTAAACTGTTGTATTCTGGGCACCTCTGCAAAAACAGTGATTATGTGTGAGTGAGGTGAAAGTGTTGTATGATGATGAAAGTATTTTCTTTTTGGGTCACCCTGCCTCAGTGGGAGATGGCCGACTTGTTGAAAAAAAAAAATGCATGTGTAGTGTGACTTAATCCATTTCACACTCACTTGGCAGGATGGTACTAGCTCCCTGGGCAGATGCTGTCTACCAACCTCCTACCTAAATCATAATCTCCAATTGTTATAATCAAAGCAAAGCACTAAACCTACTAGGTTTCAATGCTCTCCAAGCTGCGAATTTTCTACATAATATTTACACCATTGTCCTCGGACACGACGTCTTCACTGTCTCCAGCCTCCTTATTTCTGCAACATTCACATCTCGTGCTTCACACCCACATAAGAGTGTTATCACTATAATCCTATACATTTCCTTGTTTGCCTCCTTGAATAACATTCCTTGTCTCCGCAGGTGCCTCAGTGCACCATCCACCTCTTTCCTTTCGTCAGTTTTATGGTTCACCTTATCTTTCATATATCCATCCGCTGACAAGTTTACCCCAAAGTATCTGTACACATTCACCCCTCCCTGTTCCCTCCTTCCAATCTGATATCCAGTTTTTTCATAACTTTCATTACTTTTTTCAGGAAGGACCTGGAAGCAAACTTAGTGACCTACGACGAGAAATTCGGGAAAAGGATGAGAAAATAATGATTCTGGAAGGGGAAGTTACAAAGTGGGAGCAGCGCTACCTGCAGGAGTCAGCAATGAGACAGCTTGCCATAGATGCTGCATCCATGCCTAAGTGCGTTACTTTTGTTGCTGCTGTTTCTTGATTTGCCCTTTCCCTTTACATATAGTGTAGTATTTTTTTAACATAAGAACAAATAACTAAAGAAAAATTGTATCTTCCAGCTTTATTTCAGTGCTATTTTAATAGAAGAAAATAGATACGTGACTAGCTTGTGCTACAAGGTCAGATGCCATGCTCCTTCCTTAAGTGAATGTGACCTGACCTGACTAGGTTAAGGCATTGGCTTAAGCAGGCCTACTGGCCTTGCATGGGCCAGTAGGCCTGCTGCAGTGCTCCTTCTTTCTTAAATTCTTATATCAGACCTTTTTCAAAATATGTATACACAGAAATGCAGGCTAATAAAATAATTTATCTTTATATAATTTTGACTAGGAGAAACTTTGTGCAACTTAGGTAAACTTGTTGAATTAATTCATCAGGTCTCATATCCATATGATCTTTTGTTTCAACAGTCTTTCTATATGATTAATGTCTATTCTTTTCTCTGGCAAAACTTACCAATATTACCTTTTAACTTTACAACCTACAGTGATACTTTCCATCAAAAACTTACCAATATTACCTTTTAACTTTACAACCTACAAGTGATACTTTCCGTCACTAATAGGCTACTGTCAACAATGATCTTTTAAATTTCAAGTCATGGTTTTCTTCATTATATTTTATATTTTTTACAATCTTTGTTTTCATCCAAGTCATTCTAAAAATTTCTATACCCATTCCTTGCTTCACAGTTGTGCTTATCTTGTTATAGATTTGGTCTGTACAATAATGCAAAAGCAACCCATCTCTGTACTTGGAAGCTTACAGCCTTGTAATCACTTGAAGTAAATAATGCACGTATTTGTCGATTAACGTTTTCTGCGCTTCTCATGCTTTCCTTCCTTACCACGATTTGTAGAGCATCTCTAGCTATTCTTCCTTGTGCTATTTTACATTTTACTTTCTTCCCATTGTTTATAAATAGAATGAGTTTTAAGCCAAGTGAGATTCCTTGGGCTGCCAAAATTATAATTTTACTCGGTATTTTTGCCACTTTCATTGGATGTGTATTTCTCAGAAATCATGAATTGTCTTTTTAATCCTTTGACTGTTTTGATCGTACATATATGTCTTATGAGCCACCGGGTTTGATGTATATATACATATACTCAAAAATTCTAGCCACTTCAAATCAAGCTGGTAGGCCCACGTGAGAGAATGGGTCTGTGTGGTCAGTGTGCAGCATATAAAAAAAATCCTGCAGCACGCAGTGCATAATGAGAAAAAGAAACTCTGACTGTGTTTTTGGATTAAAACGCTGAGTTTGTGGTGTATTTTCGTATAGTATTTATGGTTGTATTCTTGTTTTCTTGGTCTCATTTGATAGAATGGAAAACATATTATAGAAATAGAGGTGACTTTGATTAGTTTTACTGTGAAAAGAACCTTGAAATGGAGCTCAAATTAGGGGAAATGTTTGATTTTTGCTGATGTTCAAAAGTAAACAAATGATGTCATTGTCCAATAAATGTCCAACTAGCCATTCTAATATGCAGTCATGAATGGGTTGATATTATTTATACAATTATTACAATATTGCAGTAGTCTACATAACAGTAAATCTGTCATGATGGGTACACAGGCTTGTGTTGTGCCCATGGCCCGGGAAGGGCCATCCCACGAGAGAGAGCTACTAGTACTTGTATCTTGCTGAAAGGCCGCTGTGTGAGTGAGCGCGAGGCAAGGGCAGACAGGCTGGCGTGCCTACCGAGAGGCCTGTCTACAGAGGGCAGCATCTGAGTGGCGCTAAATATGAACTAAGCTGGCAGACAGCATGGGCTGTCTGTGCAGACAGTACAGGCTGTCTACAAATCTTCTATTTTTTGTTTGAATAAAAATTCAAAATAGAAAGCAAGAGTAATATCAGAGGGGCCAGGAGACGTGACTGATGAACAAAAAAAAAATTTATTTTAGAGCTAGGAATGTCTGCATTGTTCATTCTGGACCCTATTTTGAAATTGGCATACAGTGGACCCCCGGTTAACGATTTTAATCCGTGCAAGAGGGGTAATTGTTATGCGAAATAATCGTTATGTGAATGAATTTTCCCCATAAGAAATAATGGAAATAAAATTAATCCGTGCAAGACACCCAAAAGTATGAAAAAAAAAATTTTACCACATGAAATATACATTTTCCCACACACAAAGAGAAGGATACATGCACAATAGTAGAGTAGTACATGCACAGTATATATTGTGCATGTACTAGTCTACTAAATGAAGAATAAATGACACTTACCTTTATTGAAGATGCAGCAATGACTGATGAGACACTGTGTACTGGGAGTGCCTTTTTCCTCCTGAGTACTGTAGGTCCTGTTTGGCATTTTTCTTCCAGAACAGGCCTTATCACACTGTGTATGCCACTACGATTCTTAAATCTCTCAAACCAACCTTTGCTGGCTTTAAATTCACCAATATGAGCACTAGTTCCAGGCATTTTTCCCTGTTCACCTGGGTGTTAGTCGACTTGTGTGGGTTGCATCCTGGGAGACAAGATTAAGGACCCCAATGGAAATAAGTTAGACAGTCTTCGATGACACTGACTTTTTTGGGTTATCCTGGGTGGCAAATCCTCTGGGTTAATTTGTTTCTTGGTATTCTCAATAAGCCACACCAACAACGGTGCTACAGCAGCAGCAGCAGCTGACAGTGCAGCAGCAGCAGCAGCTGACAGTGCAGCAGCAGCAGCAGCTGACAGTGCAGCAGCAGCAGCAGCTGTACCACCAATAGTAGCGATGGTTGATTGGGGTTTATTATACAACCTGGCCAGCTCGGAGACATGCACTCCACTTTCATACTTATCAATGATCTTTTTCTTCATCTCTATCGTAATTCTCACCCTTATTGCTGTAGGGTTGGCACTAGAAGCTTTCTTGGGGCCCATGGTCACTTATTTTCCAGAAAAAGCACCGAAAACACTGTAATAATACGAAATATTCCGATTGTATGCTTGGATGTTACCGCGGAGGCTGGCTGGTAAACAATGCCACCGGCGGAACATGTGAGCGTGGCTCAGGCCGCACATTGGACGCGTCTCGGACGAAAATCGGTAAGCGGGTTTTTAAGCGGTATGTGAGGCAAAATTTTTGCAATTAAAGTAAGCGGTATGCGAAATAATCGCTATGTGATGCCATCGTTATGCGGGGGTCCACTGTATTTTTAAATTTGCATGAATTTGGCCAAATTGCAAATTTCTGACCACGTTATTGGGTAGTTGAAATAGGTGAATGGGCGGTTTCTTGTACTCAATCGCTAGAACAAATGGAGTTCTAAAGAAATAGTTATGAGTTTGGTCAACTGGAACAATGGAATTTGCCAAAAATAGGGCTCAAAGCAGACGAAATTGCCGATTCGTAAATATCGCCGAGGTCGCTAACTTCGCAAGAGGGTAATTCCATAAGTTTTCCATCAAATTTTTTTTTTTTTTTTTTTGGTGTCATTACCATCAGAAAAAAATTCTCTATCATTTCATAAGATTTTTTTTTTTTTTTTCTCTCTCAACATTTTTTCGACACCAGGAGACACCTCAGGATTTGGGGTTGCAACAGTCAAGGGGTTAAACTTGTCAAAATAATTTGTTTGAGCTTTGGTATTGTCAGTTTTTGCTGGCCTTTGTAATCCAGGGTTTGCATACATGCCTGTGATATGCCTGTGACCAGTTCTTAGAGTTTTACTCCTATGGCAAAACTTCCCTATTGATCAACTGATTAATTAGGCTAGTGCCACCTGCAGTCTGCTGGTCCACATAGCCATCACAGTCTGGCTGATTAACCCTTAAACTGTCCAAGCAGATCTACATCCATATGCGTAGTGCTCCAAAAGTAGATCTACGTTTTTTTTTATATATTTTCAAATATAACAAAAAAAAAGTAGATCAAAGTTTTTTTACACGTTTTCAAATGTAAAAAAAAAAAAAAAATATTTTTTACGTACTTTCAAATGTTGAAAAAATGTAGATCTACGTTCGGACAGTTTAAGGGTTAAGCACTTCCTGCAAAAAACTTGTTTAATTTCACCACACATAACATATGTACTTGCAGTAGACATCTTCAAATTATCAGGATATTTTTCCGTCATAATGGTAATGAATTATGAATCTATCCAGCAGATCATAAGAATAATGGACATTTCTCAGTTTTACAGACATTGTCTTTTGCAACCAAATGTCTGGCCACAGATTTTCTGTTATATCAGAAATTTGTTACATCAGATCCATTAAATAAAGGTTTTACTGTATTTTGCATATCTCCTACCTTACTTTTGATGAATTTTGAGTTTTTCTTCTCCTGGAACACGGCCAAAGGCCAGACTTCGAGGCGTTGACACAGTGTTCTCTTATTTTTATATGATTTAATGTACTCTTCATTTCCTCCTGTCTCTCACTCCAATGCATTATTTTAGCTTCTGAAACTGGTCAAGGGTAAATAAATTGTGTTCAGATCAGGTATCTGGCCTCCAAGTATTTTTCATCGATAGATTAGGAGATATCTCACTCTTCCATGTTCTTCAGAGCATTCAAAGTGCTTGGAGGTAGTTTGATTCTTAATCCTTTCAGTGTCGATCCCATTGTTCTACTGCTTTGAAGCCAGTGTCAGTCCTGTAGTACTATGCCATGTGCTCAGCTCACTCACATAAGCTGTGAGAGGTAAATTTGGGCCTAGATATGAGATCATGGGTCTGTGTGGTAAGTGTGCCATATATAAATCCTGCAGTACGCAGTGCATAATGAGAAAACAAACTGTGACTGTTTTTAGTTTAAAACGGTGACTTTGCTGTGTTTTATGGTTGTATTCTTGGTTTCATTTAATAGAATGGAAGATATGTTATGGAAATGAAAAGGATTTTGATTGATTTCAGAATTGAAAGTAATTTGAAATTGAGCCCCAAAGGGGCCATAAATATTTAGTTTTTTTGCTGATATTCCAGAGTACGCTTCCAAAGGGCGTCTAAAATCCCTTTAAGAATGCACTGACATTAAATTTTTTACAATTTTTTTACAAAAATGCAGTAGTTTGCCCTTTAAAAGTTTAAAACTTGTTTCTTTTTTATATGGGGAAAAGAAAATTCAAAATGGAAAGCCTCGTAAAATAAGAGGGGCCTTGAGACGTGAAATGAGGAAAAAGGAAATTTTTACAGTGCCAGGAGTGTCTGCATTGTTTATTCGGGAAACCCCATTTTTTAAAATTTGGGACTTTTTAAAATTTTTTGTGAAATTGGCCCAAAATTTCTATTTTTGGTCACTTTATTTTAGTAGTTTAAATAGTTAAAAAGGTGGTTTTTTGTTTCTAAATCGGGTTGAATAGAAGGGGGTTATTGTGAAAAAGCTATGAGTTTTTTTTTTGGGGGGACTGTAAAAAGTGGAATTGGCCAAAAATAGGGTTTCAAAGTGGATGAAATCACTTTTGTAAATATTGCTGAGACCAATAACTTGAGAGAGGTAATTCTGTAAGTTTTCCTTTAAAAATTTTGTAATTCGGGGTTTTATTTCCTTCAGAAAAAAAATTATATTTCAAAAATTTTGAAATCAGGTGTCTCGATCTGAAAGGGTTTAAAAATGATTTAGGGGTTTTGCGTCAGTGGCCCCCTCGGGTAACAGATTTTTCGTTTCAGAGAGCTTGCCTTTAACTGTTTTTTTCCCGGTTGCCGAATTATTTTCCCCCATAAGAAAAAAGGGAAAAATCAATAATCAGTTTCAGACCCCCAAAGGTTTTAAACAGAAATATTTTTTTAAAGATTAAATATGATTAATACGAAAAAAATGAAAAATTAAAAAGACTAATAAAATAAAAAAAAAATGAACTTTTAACATACACTTACCTTATTGACCTTGTTGGTGTATGGAAGAAAGTGGGGCCCGAGGGGGGAGACAAGTTTATTATGCTTAAATAGAACAAAATATCTCTACAGCTTATTTGTCTATCCAATTCATCTGATATGACTAATAAACAAAATTAATAAAATAGAAAAATGATATATACTCAGAATGAAAAAATATGCATAATGTATGAGAGGAGTAAGTGGTAGAAGTGGGGTTGTTGGGTTTTTTAAGGGCCCCTGAGAGAAGCCATAAAATTTGGGTGGTGGAGGCAGCAGAGGGCCCCCAACCCTATAACATTCCAAGTGTATGTAATTTTAAAAAAGAAAAATTTACATTTTAAATTTTTAAAAAAGAAATATTTACATTTTTAAATTTTTAAAAAAAGTAAGTTTTTCAGGTATCACAAATACGTTTATGATTTTCATACATGCGCATATGTGTAAAGTACCTAGGTAACCAAAAAAAAACAGAGTGCTCATTTATTTCCTTGGGGTCCTTTTTATTTTTAAAAACGTATTTACTTTTTTTACTTCACTTTTTGTTTAAATTACCTTTGGGATTTAGTTTTAATTAGTTAGTTTGAGGGGGGAGTGCTGGAAGAGGTTTGGGTGGGGGAAGAAGGGAAAGGGGTTAGTTCGAGCCCCAAAAACACAAAACATTGGAGAGTTACTTTCGTGTCGTTTTTTTTTTTTTCGCTTTTCTCACTTAACTTACTTGCTACACTGTTATTTTACATTTATCATGGCTGGCACTATAGTCTTTATCGATACCTGCTGCTTTAGCATTGTACATATCATAGAATCATTGAATCACTGCAGAAGGCACATTCTCCCCTCTCTCTTCCTCCTCCACTTTGGTACTTTGCCACGAGTTTTTTCTTGAATTCTTTTGTGTTTCTTTCCTCCTTTACCACAGGGCTGGCACTGGAAGCTTTCTTTGGGCCCATGGTGGCTTATTTAGCAGTTACAAGCACTAAAAGCAATGGAATAATACAGAACATTTCGCGTGTACGCATGGAATCGTCTTTTCTGGCTTGTAAACAATGGCACATTGGCTGTACATGGGCTCAGGCCACGTGGACACATTCGGGACAAATGTCCTTAACCAAGTTCTTGGGTGTTAGCCGAGTCAATATTTTGACGCAGAAACGTGCCGCTGTCCGATTTTGGCATTAGCCAATGCTGCCATTATCCGAGGGTCCACTGTATTTGTACTGTTGTGTTCCTTTGAATAGAAATTGACATAAATATTACTAGATCTTTTATCTTATCCATCCATTATACCAAATGTGGAAGGATTCTGTGTGTTGTACTGTACTTTCAGTTTACTATACATTGGTTTGGGTTTAATACTTGTATGTTTGCCCTAGAAATATCTGACTGCTGTTTATTTTTTCTTGATTAATTCCCCATTTGTTAAAATTAATTTCCTAACATTTGGCATTACTTGGGCAACATGCAAAATTATGCTTGATTGTACATCAGTAAGGTTGTTATTAGCTTATACATATTGTATTTGACATCATCATGTCTCTAGTTAGTTACTCATTGTAAAGATCAGATGTAGCATATTTTATTTCTGGTAAATTCTGTTATTTGTTTGCTCAGTGTGAATTTTACATATAGTCATTGAACTCTCTTGTATGTGCCTCTTAGTCTAGAGTCCTTTCAGCAAGTTTGTCCTGTACTGTACAGTGCTGTTATTTGTTGTCTTCCATTTTTAGTTTGGAATTTTGTAATCTAGGAGAATGTTTTGTGCAGCATTTTCTGGGTTGTCTAGGCAGTATCATCATTTTTTTATCTTGGTGAATTTCTCTTTTATAGGCTTTTTTTTTTTATATGAGGATAATTACTGGGTTTTTGTTCTCCGCTTTTCTTCTTCTTGATCATTTTAGCAGCTCTCTGCAAATAAATGAGTCTCACATAAAGAATTACACTTCTTCCTGCAACTTGCTGTTGGCTTTGCTTGCAAAGTATACCTTGCTTGGCTTTTTTGTTTATTAACACTTTTTTATTCATTAACACTTCCCACAACTAAAATTCACATTACTGTATCACTAGTTTAATTTTGGAATCTTAAAGCAATACAGTAGTGTTCTTTGGCAGCTGGAATGAATTCATCAATTATTTATATTGTGGAAAAGTTCTTACATATCATTTTTTTATGGCTACTATACAGAGATGCAAAAATTGCTGCCTTAGAAAAGACTAGCCAGGAGAGTGAGCGCCACATCGCTCAGGCAAAGTCTGATAAACTGCGACAAATGGATGAGCTCCACACCATGAGTAAGAAGCAAGCAGAGTATGAGGCCAGGTAATTATTGTTCTCAAACAAAACAAAATCATATAGTTTCAGTTATTTTTAAGCATGGTACTTGGATAATCTTTCTCTAGTATTACGTATATAAAAAACTGCCTTTTACAAATGTAAAAGAATGGAACTTTATAATGGTTTGTTATGAGCTGACATTTGTTGAGTTAAAGTACTACAACTGCTTGTCCTTTCAAGGAGGTTGGCTTGATATCAGTGAAAGGTTCTTGGTCAAAGAAATTGGAGTTACCCTTCCCTTTGGATCAAACCAGATTACCTCCCAGTCTCCAGGCATTTCATGACCCCTACAGGCTTAATGCTTCCCATAAAAATATAATAATAGTAATAATAATATAACTGTCAAGAGAGTTCTCCCAGAAGTCTGGTGAGTTGCAACTTCAATTAACTTCTCTCCATATGAGAATATAAAGTAAAAAAAGTAGAAAGATTTAATAATTGAGTTATTAGAAAGTAGTACAAGAAAGGAAATGGTTAGTGAAATGATGTAAAACTGTACGAGGTACTTAAGAAGACAGCATATTTGCTACAATATAATACGAGGTGGGGCCAAGAGCTGCAGGTCATCCCATACAAATTTGAAAAAGATAGGTGGTTAATGTAGTTCATTAAAAACTTGCACAGTTTATGTAGAACATTGGTAAAGTAATGAAGCTCTATTCATCTCATCTGTATAATCTAAAATTTGCAGCTTGTATATGCATTTATAGCAGTGTGTTTCAAGGAAGCAGATCAATTAAATACAAGTGTTAGGAAACAAGGAAATTGATTTTATAATGTGATTCATACATATGTGGGTTATAAGGAATGAAACAGTATAGTGTATGTCTACTAGATCGAAAAGTGTGTTAGATTATCCACTAAATTTTACTGAATAAATTTGTGTACTTGCATATTATTACCAAAATATAGAATTAATATGAGTGAGGCAAATAGATATAATAGTAAAAAGGTGGTGGACATGTTTGCAGCACAGATATGATGAGGTCATTTTTTTTGTGACAGGAAAAGAATTTTAAGAGATAAATTAGCTATGACGGTATATCATTTTTTCTTTTACTGAAACATTTTGTATAGAATACTGTACTGTACATAAATCTTCTTTCAACTTACCAGCTGTATCCCACCAAGGCAGGGTGGCCCAAGAGGAAAAACAAAAGTTTCTCCTTTTACATTTAGTAATATATTCAGGAGAAGGGGTTACTAACCCCTTCCCTGGCATTTAGTCGCCTCTTACACACCAATGCTTAAGGAGGAAGAAGTCCTGTTCCACTTCCCCATGGAAACTATACATAAATTGTGATCAAAATATTATGCCCCAAGTAATCGGGTGTGGTGCCAGTACTCCGTTTTCTTAGTAACAGTACAATAGAAGCACTCTTATATATGGGGTTATATGACCAATTATGTGATATCAATAATTGACTTCCTTCCCATCTCATCCAAGTTTAAACAACTTCTTTTATACTTGTTTATCTCTTGTCATATATGGTTTGTTAAATAAGCTCTTTTCCTGCTTAATCACACTTGGCTACTAAATTCATGCTTGCTTCTTTAGTGTGGCTTCTTTCCTCCTCTCTTGTGTAACAGTTTTACACTCCCACCCATCACATTATTCCAATTTTATATACCCAACTTGGAGCACGTTAGATTTCCTTGGACTCTGTTTTTGTGCATACTCATTTGTCAAGTTTTTTTAGCGATGAAAAGTAACCAACTTGAAACTGATTGAAAATTAACCCTTAGGAACCGTGAACGAAAGTCCATAGCCAAGCGTGAGCCATGATATGTTTTTTAGAGACGCGGAGAAAAAGAGGCTTTAACCAAAAAGCCTCATGAGAAACCTCTCACCAATTGGAAAAAGGAATGATGTTTATGTATTTTTTTGGGAAAAATACAGGGTTTCCTTAAACATTTTAAGTCATACAAACTTGTTGAATACATTCATTGAACATATAAAAATTTGACAAAATTTTTAAGTCTAATAAAAACCCCTCCTTTCCTGAAGAGTGTTTCCCTGGACGGGAAATATCCAATTGTTTTCATCCTTTGGGTGTTGAATTTTTTATTTTCAGATAACAATTTTGTCGGGTTTTAAGTTCCTCATTTTCATTATAGGATTACACCACCACCCGACTTACACCTGCTCGACTTACGACCACTCGACCACGACTGGTTTTTTATCCCAAATTTCTAGAAATAAAAACTATTTGGTTGTAACAGGGGTTTTATCCAAAACCTTACAGTATAAAATACAGTACAAACAGCATAAAAAAGTATAGTAAAACATGAAAGCCAAAAAAACAATAAAATAAAGTCATTACAAAAATGTTTGTTGATATTCTAGTAAATTTGACTTTCGACCATTTCGACTAAAATGGTTTCCGGAACCCAACTCAGTCTAAGTCGATGGGGGGTGACATTGCCAATACCATGTGTGTTCTAAATTTAAGGCCTTGGTATGTTAAATACCATAAAGAAATTTTTTAGAAAAAAGCAAAAGAGGATTGTTTTGAAAATGTCAAATCTAATTATATCTGTACATAAAATTTTTTTTTTTTCAACAAGTCGGCCGTCTCCCCCCCGGGCAGGGTGACCCAAAAAAAAGAAAATCCCCCAGAAAGAAAAACTTTCATCTCAAATTTAAAACTTTCATCACCAACAATCACTGTTTTTTCAGAGGTGCCAGAATACAAATTTAGAATTTTTTTTTTTTTTTCAACAAGTCGGCCGTCTCCCACCGAGGCAGGGTGACCCAAAAAAGAAAGAAAATCCCCAAAAAGAAAATACTTCCATCATCATTCAACACTTTCACCACACTCGCACATTATCACTGTTTTTGCAGAGGTGCCCAGAATACAACAGTTTAGAAATATATACGTATAAAAATACACAATATATCCCTCCGAACTGCCAATATCCCAAACCCCTCCTTTAGAGTGCAGGCATTGTACTTCCCATTTCCAAGACTCAAGTCCGGATATATAAAATAACCTGTTTCCCTGAATCCCTTCACTAAATATTACCCTGCTCACACTCCAACAGCTCGTCAAGTCCCAAATACCATTTGTCTCCATTCACTCCTATCTAACATGCTCACGTACGCTTGCTGGAAGTCCAAACCCCTCGCCCACACCACCACCTTTACACCCTCCCTCCAACCTTTTCGAGGATGACCCCTACCCCGCCTTCCTTCCTCTACAGATTTATACACTCTCCATGTCATTCTACTTTGATCCATTCTCTCTAAATGACCAAACCACCTCAAGAAACCCTCTTCAGCCCTCTGACTAATACATTTATTAACTCCACACCTTCTCCTAATTTCCACACTCTGGATTTTCTGCATAATATTTGCACCACACATTGCCCTTAGACAGGACATCTCCACTGCCTCCAACTGCCTCCTCGCTGCAGTATTTACAACCCAAGTTTCACACCCATATAAGAGTGTTGGTACTACTATACTTTCATACATTCCCTTCTTTGCCTCCATAGATAACATTTTTTACCTCCACATATTCCTCAATGCGCCACTCACCTTTTTTCCTTCATCAATTCTATGATTAACCTCATCCTTCATAAATCCATCTGCTGACACGTCAACTCCCAAATATCTGAAAACATTCACTTCTTCCATACTCCTCCTCTCCAATTTGATATCCAATTTTTCTTTACCTAAATCATTTGATACCCTCATCACCTTACTCTTTTCTATGTTCACTTTCAACTTTCTACCTTTACACACACTCCCAAATTTGTACACTAACCTTTGCAATTTTTCTTTAGAATCTCCCATAAGCACAGTATCATCAGCAAAAAGTAACTGTGTCACTTCCCATTTTGTATTTAATTTCCCATAATTTAATCCCACCCCTCTCCCAAACACCCTAGCATTTACTTCTTTTACAACCCCATCTATAAATATATTAAACAACCATGGTGACATTACACATCCCTTTCTAATACCTACTTTTACCGGGAAGTAGTCTCCCTCTCTTCTTCACACCCTAACCTGAGCCTCACTATCCTAATAAAAACTCTTTACAGCATTTAGTAACTTACCACCTATTCCATATACTTGCAACATCTGCCACATTGCTGCACTATCCACTCTATCATATGCCTTTTCTAAATCCATAAATGCAATAAAAACTTCCCTACCTTTATCTAAATACTGTTCACATATATGCTTCAATGTAAACACTTGATCTACATATCCCCTACCCACTCTAAAACCTCCTTGCTCATCTGCAATTCTACATTCTGCTTTACCTCTTAATTCTTTCAATAATGACCCTACTGTACACTTTTCCTGATATACTCAGTAAACTTATTCCTCTATAATTTTTACAATCTCTCTTGTCCCCCTTCCCTTTATATAAAGGGACTATACACGCTCTCCGCCAATCCCTAGGTACCTTCCCCTCTTTCATACTTTTTTTTTTTCAGCAAGTCGGCTATCTCCCACCAAGGCAGGGTGACCCAAATAAGAAAGAAAATCCCCAAAGAGAAAATACTTTCAACATCATTCAACACTTTCACCTCACTCACACGTAATCACTGTTTTTGCAGAGGTGCCCTGAATACAGCAGTTTAGAAGTATATACATATAAAAAATACACAATATATCTCTCCAAACTGCCAATATCCCAAATCCCTCCTTTAAAGTGCAGGCATTGTACTTCCCATTTCCAGGACTCAAGTCCAGTTATATAAAATAACCTGTTTCCCTGAATCCCTTCACTAAATATTACCCTGCTTACACTCCAACAGCTCATCAGGTCCCAAATACCATTAAATTTTTTTATATTAAAGTCCAGGTTTTATTCCCTGGACCTCAGCAATGAGAGTCGCTTGTCTCACCGCTGGGCAACGGCGACAATTCGTTCATTTATTAAACAAAAATACCAACCAGTCCAACACTATGTCCCCCCCTGCTTTTAACATTTCTGTCATGATCCTGTCAGTTTCAGCTGCTTTAC